TCTATATGCTTGCTGTCTACTTTTATAGCACACTATCTTTTCAAGGTTATTTATGCAGCTCTCAGTTTGGTAGCACGCCTGTAATTCCATTATTTCAGGAGGCTGGGGCATAAAGATTGCAAGTTGGAGGCCAGCTCACACAACTTAGAGAGAATTTGTCTCAAATTAAAACTTTTAAGAGGGCTTATAATGTATCTAGACACTCTCTAGATACAATCCCCCAGAATAAAGGAGATACTTATTGGAGTGAGCATCTATCTCTAAGGACAAGAACACATTTATTTGCTGACCAAGATCATTAAGATAAAGTCTCTCTCTAGGGCTAACATTGGGTAAGGCTTGCTTACAGGTCATTATTGTAGAGGGGGGGATGTTAATGACTCAGGTATGATGCAAATCTGCTAATATACAGTGCATATGCAGGCCTCTCTGCAATATTCCTTGGGACTTGGAAGGTAAAAGCAACCAATGCAACCAGAAGGTACTATCATCTGCTTTCCTGGGACTTATAAAGCCCTGTATGTATTACATATCTCAAGTATGTACTAATAAAATGTTTTAAATGCAAAGAATAAAAGGTCCTCTGACTCTGAGCCAGGTGTCTCATGTCTTTTCCCACCAACTACAAATGTCCTGTGTGTTTATCAGCTTTTTATACAAAAAAATATATAAGATAATGTATAGAGAAAAGTTTTATTGTGGTTTTAGATATTCCAATCCATCCTCAGGCAAATCTATTGTTTTTAGATCTCCTGTAGGAATGGTGGGCAGCAACAATGGAGACATGAAGCAGAGTAAACAGCTCACCTCACAGCCAGAAAGCAAAAGAAAGGAACAGAAAGGTGCCAAGGTCCCTAAAATCTCCTTCAAGGGCATCGCCCCACTACAGGGACCTAAGTGCCTCCCAGTGGCCCCACCTCCCAGCAGCACCACCCGGAAGTGACCAAGCCTTCTACACACAGACCTTTGGAGATTCAACGTGCAAACTGCAGGGGCTTGAAAACACTATGAAACCCAAGATCCTCCACAGTTCCTAACAATCTAATGACTCTCACCTCAGTTATCTACCACCCCAAAGCCACGTAAATTTGATATTATGCCTGCTGCTTTTATGTCTGTGTCCTCTCATTGCTCAAGCAACCTGTACTGACTATGCTGTTTTCCAGTAGCAGCTACAATTACAGATGATAGCCCCTAAAGCTCTGCAGGGATGGCAGAATCTTATTTTTCTTATTTATTCTTTTAGCACTGGGGACTGAACTCAGGGCTTCACATGTTAGGCAAGCACCCTATCACTCCACCTTATCACTTTTATTTTTTTTTTAGATACGCTCAACCTTGGGACCCTCCTCCCTCCACCTCCCAAGTAGCTGGGATCACAGCCTTGCCCACCATGTGCAGTTATGGTAGCATCTTTTACTGGTATTTTTTTCTGGGCCCCTGGTTAGGGAGACAAAGTTAGAGGTTAGATGCCTGTGTAGGCTACACATGAAAAATACACTCCTGTATCCGTATTTGGTGTTAGAGTCCTTCCTCACCATTATGCCAAGAAAACTGTCTTTTTTTTAGTGTAGACCCACTAAATCCAGATTTGTTTCTCTACAGTGAGTCCCCCTGCTTCAGTTAGCATGCTTTCTGAAGAAAAGAGAGTGTTAGAGACCTTACACAGTAATAAAATACTTGAGCGTGGAAGTCCCATAGGTGACTTTCCTTAAAACATACTGACCACAACCATTTGGCCCCTCATCAAGGGGTACAGCAAAACACAGTCTTTCAGGGAAGCAGAGAACTACATGCTCGTTAGCACCTCACCCCTGTGACTCAGTGCGGCTGACAATGGAGAGTTATGATGTCACACAGCATTCACACACACTCTATGGGCTGTACTTTCATTTCTCCTCAACAGTCATGAGAACCAGAATTACATCTTCAATATGGAGGATGTTCTTTGTTTATTTTCTCTTTCAATTCCCTAAATACTTCAGGTTTCAAGTGGGAGCATGTCTGAATTGACATAAAGTCAAAAGTAAGTCGTGAGCCTGAGCCATGAGTTTGTAAGGTTTATGCTGCCTTCTAGGTCTGCGAGAGCCAAGTCTTGTAATTACTGGTTCTGTTTTATACTGGAGTGCTACAGAGTGTGCTCTTTTATGGTTCAGTAATCATATAATAGCTAGTTTGGGAGGGGTGGTTTAGGTTGGCTAGTCATTTGGAGTTTCAAACTCAAGTGTTTGGTTTCTATCAGGACCTAGCAGCAAGCTGAGAATAGTTTTTTAAATGAAAAATAACTACTGCATGGTCTTCCTCCCAAACTGAAAGAATTTTCTCTGTGTATTGGCAGTCTCCAAACACCAGCGCTATATGATCTGTTAAGTCATAAGACATAAGTGATATGTCAGCCTGCATCCTGGTCTGGATCAGCTGTGAGCTTCTTCTTGTTCCATAACTCACCTAAAAATGGAGGTTTATGGGTTATCTCATTAATATGTTGGTGCAATATGCCCAAATGTGGTCTCCGTTGTCACAGAACTCCAGAAAGGCTCATCTAACACAGCATCTCCTTTGTGGTGGATGGTGCAAGACACTGCTACCAGGTATCTGTGATGACCACAGCACCCATGAATCCAACGTCTGACATAACCTTGCTCAGCCTTATCCCAGTGTGCATGCTTTATTCAGCCAAAGAGGGTGGACAGCCCTATGCATCACAGAGGGCAGATATCTTGCCAGTAACAGACCCTCAGAAGAAAGTAATGACACTGGTACTGCCTGCTTCTTTGTAGTTCCTGATTTTACTTGGATAATAAACACAGGATGAGCTTGTGGTCTCACTCAACTAATGGTAGATGAATTTGGGCAACTATTTTATTTCATTTATTTGAAAAAAATCTGTATTTTATTGGTATATTGTCGATATACATAGTTATAATATTCATCACAGGAAATTTGTACCTGTAGATGATATGTCAAGATTTTATTTAACACCTGATTATCCATAAGCCTCAACTTTGATATATGTAACTACCAAGGTCTGGGTATTTCTTTTTTCCCAGTATATAGTTCCTTAGATAAACAGCTCCCAGTCCATCTGTGGAAGGCCTGGGAGGAAATCCACCATGCATACAAATGGCTGCACTCTGGGCTCTTCAAGCACTTGGCTTTTATTGTGTGGAGGCACATTAACTATACACTGGCTTAATTATGGTAAGCTAAGAATTCTAGCAGCATTGTCTAATTAGTTACTGCCCCACAGACCTAAAAGTATTCCTCTCCTAGACAACACAGAACCTCAGTAAGCTGCCTATGTATTTCTTTTCAGAACATTACTATTCCTTGTGACACATTGTACTAAAATGTATCTAAACTTGCCTTTGCCAGTTTACCCGTTTGGAATTCTATTTTCCTACTGTAATCAGGAAATACAGTTTTTGCAGGGTCTCCCACTATTCTTCTTCTCTGGATGTCTAGACAGTCACAAAGGGGTACCCCGCACAGCAAGGTATTGGGAATGGGGTGAAGGAAGGGGAAGGAGAGGGTAGATATAAGAAGGATGAACATATGCAACACGGTATGTGCAGGTATGGAGGTAACACAGTGAATCCCATTTGTATAACTAATAAGTGCTCATAATATATTTCTTTAAAATATACCTCTTCTCCAAAGCTTAGTGAAGAGGTAATCCTCATATCTTCTTCCAGGGTACAATTAGTTAATTGATGGCAGAGCTATCTGCTAACAACAGGGCTTAGAAGTCAAATCAATAAGCTGTCACTGCTGCCAGTTTTTGAAAAGAACGCTGCTAGAAGTCCACAACATTCTTGGACTTCTCATCCTGCCTTCTAGCCACAGATTAATGGAGCTCACAGAAACACCCTGGGAGATTTTAAATTTTTGACAAATTTTTTAGAGAAACAGAAATATCTGTCACATAATGCATGAGTGTCTACAATTAGGCTAGTTGGACCTAATTACTTAGTAAGTGGAACTATTCGCTATTTCTTTGGCCAAAGAACACTATAATGGTGGTCATTACCTTCCAGACATTTATTAGTTAGCAAACTGGTGCTTGGGTAACGTTAATCAGAGAGTCCATCGAGATTGCTGCACGTGCATTTTCAATTTCTTCTCTCAGACTGCAGTGTAGTGGGTTTTCTGCTGTATCTGACATTCTTTAGGATCTCCCACAGATAAAAGTCTGCAGGTGTTAAAAAGGATATGCGCCTTACATAAGCTTCTCTTTTCCTGAAGTGCGTATACTTTTTTTGTGTGTGAACTCTGTATATTTTACAATTTTTAAAGAAGAAAGCGAAAACAATTCTTAGCTCATGGGCCACTCTGAATCATAAGACCCAATGAACAAAATGATGTGAAATACTCAAAAAACTTTTTTCCCAAGTCACTGAAATTCATTTTTAACACGAACATGTTAAAAAATTTTCATACTTAATGGTTATTAAGCTAATATAAAATACTTACTAGAGTGTCTCTAGAAAATGACTATTGTACTGTAGGACACATCTGTATATCTGAAAAAAGTAGGTATTTGTTTGCTCTATTCGTTTACATAGGCTTTAAGATCCCATCTGCCATTTGTTTTCTCCACAGATCTATACATCTAACAGCTTTGAGTGCATAAAGTATGTCAGAATGTCAAATCCTTTTGAATCTTAAATGAATGTGACTTTTTAACAAGTTTCAAATGTAGAAATTCTGTATTTTCGATTGCTTGTAAAATTAAGAAATAACTCCTTACGGTTGTAGAACCTAGCACTGCTAAAAACTAGCTCGTCCTCCGCTGTCCTGGCATTCCAAGCATAGTGCAAACCCACGTCCGAGGAGAACTGGCAGCAACTCCAATAACCTCCACCTCTTTTCCTTTCACTAACCTCTTGCGTCTGGCGGCAGCCCCGCCCCTCACGAGTGACCAATCAGAGATGGGAAAACAAGCGGATGGGGCGGGCCAGGTTCGCGCTGAGGACGAATCACCTGCCTCAGACAGCAAAGGCGGAAGCGGAAGAGGACCCACTGTCCGGGGTTGCCCTCAGCTAAGGTTTTAGTTGTGCAATGCGAGATACTGATTAAATCTCAGAGCCTTATCTGCCTGCAGAGTGGGCGAGGGGACCCCTGCAAGTGTAGGAAGCAGGAAGTTCGCTCCCCAAAGAAAAGAGCTGCATGACAGAATTGTACAGGGTCGCTAGAGGTCGGTCTCGGTCCGCGCCAGTCTCCAGGCCATGGCGCAAGAGGATCCCTGAGTGATCCCCAGGTGAGAGTAGCGCCCCGCCCCAGCACTCCCCAGCCTGAGTCAGATTGGTGAGGGCTGAGAAAAAAAGGATGCCGCCCGCGCTGCAACCTGGTAGCAACCTTAGCGGCCGCAGTTCCAGCCGTAGAAAGCACAGCCTCGGCCGAGAAGACAGCTCGAGCTGTTAGTAAAGTCGCCCGCCAAGTCTTTCTCCGTAGTCTGCGAGGTGACCAAACCAGAGGACAGGGCTCCCCATTTAGGTCTTCTTCGAGCTCCTTTTCCTTGGTACTAGGAGCTGATTGATGAGGAAACATGCCTTGCACGTGTACTTGGAGGAACTGGAGACAGTGGATTCGACCCTTAGCTGTGGTCATCTACCTGGTGTGCATAGTCGTTGCAGTTCCCCTGTGCGTGTGGGAATTACAGAAATTGGAGGTAAGGGGGACCTGCTCAGCCTCTACCCATTTTTTTTTTTTTTAAATCTAAGCTTGGGAAAGAAACACTTACCACATCTCTACTCCAGACACCCAGTCTTGGCATCCTGTAAATGAAGCCACTCTTTGGACATAAACCTGTATGATTTGTTGTTTACAGTTCTTCAAATGATGCTGCAGTTGGAGAAGTGGGACCGGATGAACAAAACAGTTCAAATATTTTAATGTAACTGCCTAAAAGTGCTTTGTTTTTGCAAATATTTACCAATCCCCCTGAAAGTTAAGTAATGTTATTCCTGAAGTTTGATCAGATGTTCACATCTTGGACTTAACTAGATCAGATAAACTACCTTGAAACTCACGTATTGAATTTTGTTAGCTGTTAAGTAACTTACCGAATTAAAGGATTCTAGTTTGACTTCGTTGTTTTTACTTTTGAAATTAGGGCTTAATCAAAGTGAAAAGGCTTTGCAAAAAGTCCCTTGTATATTTTTGATATCATATTCATATTGTAAAGTAATACAAGCTAGAGAAAGCCGAAGTAAATACTTACCTAAGATACATACTTTATAAAAATGTATAATACATGTTAAATGGAGCTAATGAAACTCACTGAGAAGCACTTATTTTACAAGTTCTCTGACCTACGGTTGTTTTAAGCCCTTTATTATAGAAATAATTTTTAATAGTTAAACAGTGTAATACATATTTATATTCTGGTTGTTTGTTAAATTATTGCTTTACTTTCTTATCCTGGCAAAGCCAATATAGTTATTTTTAAAGACTGTATAATATTCTGCAACATTAAATGTTTCTTTTAACAAAAGAGGTATGTAGTAATATTCAAGTTGACATGAGCTACCAAGTATCAAGCCAACATGTCAGTCACATTATGGGTGTCCCCTTTTTTAGTCTCCTAGTTCCGTAATAGAAGCCATTATTTTTAACTGTAATCATCAAGGACCAATAATGTGGCACCACTTTCCCATAGACTCTCTTCAAGTCCTAAGCTTCTGCAGCACTGTCTTGTTTATACTTGCTAGTCTTGCTTCTTCCTTAGAGCCTTTTCACTTCCTCTTAACGAAATGGCCTTCCTGCAAATAATATTAATTTCTGTCCTTCAGATTATCACTATATAGAGTAGTGCAAGCTTCCTCGTCTCGTTCTTCATATCCCTTCCTCTGTTTTATCTCTCTTTTTGAGACTCATGATCATCTGCCACTATATCCTGTATCTGTTTTAGTCTTGTCCCTTCCTCCTCTGCTCATAGGACTGGTACTTGAATTAAAAAGTATCAAGTCCCAGTGATTAGTCAGACTTTGTACACTACATGGTGAGAGATATAAAAATGTGACATCCAGCTGGGTACATAGGTGGTGGCACACACCTGTAATCCTAGCACTCTGGGAGGATGAAGCATGACAATATGAAGTTCATTACAAATGTCCTGGGTTCAGTTGTTCAGTCTACCACTGCCAAGAAAAAAAACAAAAGGGACACCTACTTTCTTGGAACTTAGTGTGAAGAGATCAATGCAGTGACAAAATAAATAAATAAGTAAATAAAGTAAAACAAAATGGTATAAATGCTATGGAGGAAACTAAAATAGGTCTGAGAAGTTATCAGGGAGGGTAGTCATATGATACAGCCCCAGAAAACCATTCTACCCACTGTGGCTAAGCGGAAGCAAAGTGAGGAAGCCCTTTGTGCTAGCTGACAGGCATTGCCCGATCTCGTGGTCCAAATCACAGCAGAAGTGAAAGTAAAAGCTGGATTTTAAGCATCCTTTGAAGTGAACAAATAGCACTTGGTAGTAGATTGGATTGGGAAGAAGAGACAAAAAGAAAGAAATCAAAGATGGTTCCAACCTTTTGGGCTGGGACAACTGAATGAATGGAGGTATCAGTTAATAAGATGGAAAACTGAGGTGTAGAGACAAGGTTTGAGAGAAGTTGAGTTCTGCTATGGATGTTTCATGTAATGAGAGACAGTCAAATGAGCATGTCAGATACACAGTTGGATATGCCAGTGTAGAGCTCAAAAAGGTTTGCACTACAGAGATAAACGTTTTTGTTTTAATCATTTCCATCATTAATAAGAAGATATAAATTGGAGGGCTTACAAAATGGAAATTTATTGTCTCACAGGCTTTTTGTTGTTGCTATTTTGTTTATTCAGCACAGGGTCTTGCTATATAAGGCAGGCTGGCCTTGAACTCAGGATCCTTTTGCCACAGGCTCTTGCTTCCTAAAGGCATTATTTTTGAACAGAATCAGTCACATTATGGGTTACAGTTTTAACGTATGAATGAGGGAGATGGGAAGACTTCAGTCCACAGCACAGTTGTCAAAATATAGTGCTATTCAAACCCATGAAGATGGACAGAATTATGAAAGAGAAAATGAAATGGCAAAGGGCCCAGCCCTAATATTTAGAGGGCAAGTAGAGAAATAGGAATTTACAAAGAAGACAACAGAGCAGCCAGTTGGAAAGGAGGATGTAGTGAACAATGTCCGTTGCTGCTGCCCTCATGTCCATTGTTTCTCATAAATACCAAGGCCACTGGTAGTCTGGGTAACAGTCTCAGTGGGGTTGATGACACCAGAAGAGAGTTAGTTGTCTGTGGAATGATTATAGGTGAAAAAGAGGAATCAAGAGAGAAAGATGTGGTTTTTGTTCACATTTGTTTTGGGAATACTGAGTTAAGGGGCCTAAGAAATGGATGGCATAATTGATGGAAGGAGTAGAAGACTCACAGAGGTGTATCTTTCTTGTAATTTGTCTGTAAGTTAAAAGCCACTAACTATATAGCATGTCCCCCAGATTAAGCCATAGCTATGAGTTCATCTAATCTTCTTAAAAACCTTGAAGAACAGGAAGTAACCTCATTTTATAGAAGTGAAAACCGAGGCAGAGGTTCCTGCTTGAAGTGATGTTGTGCTAAGTGTTTTATGTACAGAATCCTTACCATTCTCATGGTGCATTAACTGAGTTTACGTGTGTGTGTCTAAAATCTGTAACACTGTGCCCAGCAAAGAATAGGCGCACAGTAGGTCCAGTTACTACTGTCATGTTTGTAAATGATCAGTGTCAGCATTGCACTGGCTTGGAATTCTTTTCTCGTGTAGTAGCAGCTCAGATGCAATAAAGCTGTCAGTTGAATACCTAAGGCAAGGTTACATGTGTCAGTGATGTGATAGATGTACTTTATATTTGGGACATTTTCCATGAAAAATTCCTGTCATTTAAACATTAGAGTCACAATGTTCACTTGGTGACAAGTCCATGGGAACTGAGACGACAGGAAAGAGGAGGTTTGTGTAGTTTATCCCACGCTCATGGTGGGCCAGATACTGGTTTATTGGGGCACAAGCTGACCGTCTGCACTATTTAAACATTTCCCTCCCTGCATGACTTGACTCTGAGCATGTGTAGTTGACCACACAGTGCCCTGTAGACTTGTCATGATGGCCCCTTCGCTCTGGCAGTTCTGCTCTCTCACCCCCAGGAGCAGGGGCCCTGAAACCCCCGTCTGCTGCTCGCCACTCTTTTTGAAGTGTTTCACTAACAGAGAGTTAACTTACTCCTCGATGCTTGTGTTTAACGTTTTTTTTCTTTTCTTTCTTCTTTCCTCAAATTACTTTAGAAAACATACCTACCTCTGTCTTCCTCCTCATTTTGTGACCCAAAAAGAGACAAGCTTAAGAATAATGTTAATGGTATCTTTATATCACTGTCTCAAAACTGAATAAATTATTGAGGTAAATATATATTTAATTATAATATTACATGTCTGCAGATGTGATACTGACTTATTTTATGTTGCATAAATATATACACACATGAAATAAATTTCTTATGCATAGCTTTAAAATCAAAACAACTATAAAACTAGTAATTCAAATTAATGACATTAATGTGGACAGGTGTTTTTTGGAAACCAAATTGACGTGTCAAAATGATAGGGACTCTGGGGTGCAAGTGTTTTTGAATTGTGACCGTATGTGATGACTTCTTCCTCCAGTAACTTTTTTTCTGATTGTTTAAAAAGCAGCTTTCCTAAACACACAGGGAGGATGCTTGGCCTTCATCAGGCACAAGCTCATCATCCTCCTTTAAGTCTACCATCCAGTTCTATTTTTTGACACCAACATAACCATTGAAAATGAATGGAAACTTTAAAACTACTTGCATTTCTGTTAAGGGTCACATATTACTGGAGAAACTAGAATGTGGTTGTTATTTTCTGAGATCTTTGTTGAATGTCAGTGGGGTTTGTTTGTTTGTTTGTTTGTTAGTGGTGGTAGTGGTGATTTTGTTACATGAATATTTTACTTTAAATGAAATTGAGGGAAGCAAAAAGGCCTGGAAAACGAGTGCCCCTGGGAATCTTCACCTCTGCATATCTGCTTTTCATATTTTCTACACATTTTAATGTAGGAAGTTACTGTAAAAATACACTTGTTCTCCATACTTTTGCTTTCTAACTCTTTAATCTTTGGCTTCAAGTAGGGGGAAAATCTTGCTCAAAATAATGAAGTTAAAATTGTAGACTTCAGTTCTATCTTAATTTTAACTGTGCATACCCTTGTAATATCAAAAGTAATTACCATTTTCCTTTAAAAAAAAAAAGCATTGTCTCTTTAAGGCAGGATTTTAAGTTAGTATCAAATTCATTTCCTGGAGCCCCTCGAAAAAGAACAGAGGTTGAGATAAATTTGTTTTTACCAGAAGTCTACTTACTTCAGCTGTACTTTAAGATGAGATGACTCTTAAGTGTATTTTTAGAAACAGCTCTTAAAATAAAATATTGATCAGGTATTTACCTAGTAAAGGCATTAGGAACTTTTAAAATGATAACATCTTAAGTTGATACCATGTATATAAAAAGTAATATATATTCCAATTTGTTTGGATAGTGAACTAACCTAGTTATCTCTTGAGGAAGTTAAGCAAGAATTAATGTAAAGAACTTATACCAGTAACCCCCAATGTTTACTGTTGTTTTCATGTGACAGTTTACTATAACAATACTTAACAATAAAAGCCAGGCATGGTAGGGAAAGCCTGTAATCCCAGCACTGTGAGAAGTTGTGGCAGGAGGATCAGACATTTGAGCCCAGCCTGGTCAATTTAGCAACTTAGCAAGACCCTGTCTCAAAAATTTTAAAAAAGGACTTGAAGAATAGCTGACCAAAGGCTCAATTCCCAGGGCAGGGGGGAAATGATTTACAATAACATTGGAAGAAAATGCTAGTAGATTTTTTACTTTGTGCACATAGGAGCAAAGGAATAAAGCAAAAGTTATTTAGATTTAACTTAGAGAAAATGTCAAGGCTTCTGTACATCTTCAAACACAATTATCAAAAAAATAAAAGCAAGAATACGCTGGGGGAATGGCATGATATTAGCACTGTTCATATAAACAGCTGTTCTAAAAGGCTTGATGAGGGAAAATGCTCAACCCCTGGAGGAAAAATATGTCCCCTCCCTCCAGACAACACAGATAGGCTGTTTATTTTAAATATATAATGGCCATTAATCATGTAGAAAATACTGAGCTTCACTTATAATCAAATGAAAATTTAAGAATTAAATATATTGGACACTTTTAATTATAATATCATAGTCTCTATTAATGTGTTCCTTTGTTTCTGAAGGTTGGAATACACACCAAGGCTTGGTTTATTGCTGGAATCTTTTTGCTGTTGACTATACCTATATCGCTGTGGGGAATCCTACAACACCTCGTGCATTACACCCAACCTGAACTACAAAAACCAATCATAAGGTGCATTTCTATTTTGAGTCTCCTAACGTTGTCTTGGCTTATATCATAAATGTACCATAAAATGTTTAAAGTTTATTCTTTGCTTTCCAAACAGAGTTCTTTGGATGGTACCCATATACAGTTTAGATAGTGTAAGTATGTTTCATTTTATTTCATTATCAAAGAATTTGTTTGATGATACTGCTTATTATAGAATGCTGAAGGTCATGAAAGTATGTTATTGACGAAAGGTTTAATAAAAACAAAAAGATTCACTTGTTTTTAATGTTGATATGAAGATAAAATACAATAATAGAAAATGAAAACTGGATATTTTAAATTTTCAAAAATCTGTATCTGTTAGCTGAATTTTGTAAATTTTCAGATTATTAATTCCTAGTTTTTTAAAGAAAGTAATATTTTAAGTTATAGTTGTACTTTGGTATCCACAGAGAATTGATTCGAAGATCCCCAGAGATACCAAATGTGCTAATACTCAACTTCTACATGCAGATAGGCAGTGTTAGCGTATAACCCACACAGTCTCCCATATACATTTCAGTGTTCTCTATACCTTCAGTCCTCTCTAGATGACCAGTAATACCTGATACCTGTAGCACCTGTAAATGCTATGTAAGTAGTACTTACCCTTTATCGTTGAGGGAGTGACCCCAAAAATCTATACATGTTTAGTACAAATGGGTTTCTCATTTCTTCATTGCAATATTTTTTAATCTAGGTTTGGTGAAACCCACAGATTCTTAATATGGAGTGTTAACTATACATAATAACCCTTTTTATTTATTAAATCTTTTGTTTGATCTAAAAAACTTTTTTTTAATTACTCAGTGCTTATGGCTACTGCTCTAATTTGATTAGATATAAAGAAAATGTCTAGAGCAACATTTTCTGTGCTCACGTAAAGAAAATTTTCAGATTACATTTCAGAACTCAATTTAGCTTACCCTAAACATTTATCTTTTTATTTATCTATGTGTAAGATGCTCATTGCTCTTGAAAATTAGTTTCTTAGGGCTTGGGATGCAGCTCAATGGTAGAATGTGTACACACACATTATCTAGTAGCCATTATAATGATAAATTATGGAGCATTTATTGTACATATGTGACAAGACATCCAAGTAGCTTATTTTGAGTACCATGAATTGGAGTGGTAATTTTATCTCAGCTTCAACTATTTTTAACTTTCTGTGCTTTTTTATAGTGGGTAGCTTTGAAATATCCCAGGATTGCAATATATGTGGATACCTGCAGAGAATGCTATGAAGCTTATGTCATTTACAACTTTATGATATTCCTTACCAATTATCTAACTAATCGATATCCAAATCTGGTATTAATCCTTGAAGCCAAAGATCCACAGAAACATTTCCCTCCTTTATGTTGCTGTCCACCATGGGCTATGGGAGAGTAAGTATGTCTGGTTTTCATTCTTTTCGGTTTTAGTTTTATTTAATCAGTTATTTATTTTTTATCATTCATTTCTCTGCAAGACAAAGCAGGGCAAAAGGAAGAGGACTAGGTCCCTACACTGATGTAATTCATAGTCGCATTTGAAGACTAACAGAACACATTTTTATAATGCACGTTACGGTTTTTTACACTGTTCACCCAAATATAAAAGTTCAACAATTCACTGCTGAAGATAGTCTTAGAAATCATTTAAGCAACATCCTAGGAATCAAATTCTATAGATATTATGCAGTATTCACAGACTAGTTAAAAGACTTGGTGAGAAGACAATCTAGGAGGAAAAATAGCAAATGATATGAAACAAGAACAATAAATAGCAGTTTTTAGTAATACTTAGTTTGCCCTATTACATGTTCGTGTAGATAGTTTAAAAAGCCTATGTCATGGGGCTGGGGATTTAGCTCAACGGCATAAGCGCCTGCCTTGCAAGCAGGCAGTCGTGAGTTCGATCCCTGGTACCGATAAAAACGAAAAAGACAAAAAAAAAAGCCTATGTCATTTAGACTTTTCATTTTGAAATGTAAATTGAGGTTAAGATTGTACTCATGACACATAGGAACCTCCAGGTATGTTTCAGCAAGGGAATACTAAGAAGTTCTGATAGTTCATTTGTGAAATAAGCTGAAAAAGGGGTGAAATTGAAATAAGAATAAGACAGACAGACAAAAAGAAAGACGAGAAAAATGCGACTGAAGAACCAACGGAACTTGACTACTGGCACTACAAGCTGAGGCAGCCGGAGTGACCTGGAGGCATAGTAATCAGTTAGACATTAACGTGGGGATGGCAGTGTTCCCCACCTGAGGCACAGAACCATTTGCGTGAAGTTCTTCACATTGTTCTTGCATACTTGAGATAGGAAATACTTGGCTTTTTAAAAATAAAAATCTATTCATGTGTTTCTTCAGTAAAAACATATTGATCACCTAGTATATACCAGTATAAAAAAGTAGTGTGATATACAAAACAGACAGATCTCAGGAACTTAATTAGAAGGGTCAGAAGTTAATGAAGAAATAAGCGGCTGCTTATTTCAGGAATTGCAATAAAAGAAAAGGGAGAGCATGAGGACAATAGTAAGGGTGAGGAGAGACTCTCTGGATTGGGGATCAGGAGGAAATACCCTTGATTCCAAATACTACAAGGTGTTTTTGTGTAAAAGCCAACAGCATTCTTGATTAGACACCCAGGGTCAGGGATGACAGACTTGATTCAGCGTAGGGGAGCTCCCATGGCAAGGGGTGGGGGTGACTCGGGGTTCTTTGCACAGATGGATCTAAAGCAGGCCAAGGACAGTGCCAAAGATGAGATCTTCTCATGAAGAGGGCTCAGAGGACCTTGTCTAAAGTGTGGTCATTCAAGACCTGTCAAAGAAAAGCTGTTACAGTATGATATAAAAAGAACTGATGTCCAGATTTTTCAGTAGTTGTGTATTTTAGTGAACTAAATTGGACGTGAGAGAAATAAGAGATTGCAATAGCCTAGTGTATATAATGGTGGGGGTGGCATCCTGGCTTTGACCAGGTCTCTTCTGTTAGAATACAGAACTTTAAAAAATGAAAATGAAAAAAAGTAACCTAAGGTGAGGCTCTAGCTCCTTCTTCAGATCGGCTCTCAATTAGCGGGTGCTCAAACCCAAAGTCCTTCATGAATGATATGGTCAGAATTCCCATACTCTGTGTCATGCATATGATTTGTTCCTAACTGTGTATTACAGGTATTCTTGTTAAATCCGTGTGCTTTGGGTTCATTTTTAACTGACACTTGAATTTTTGACAACTGCTAATTGAATAATGTGACCTAGAATGTACACGTAAACAGGTTCTCTTGCCTTTGAAAAAACATTAAATCGTTACCAAAATTACTACATCTTAGTAATAATGAAACTTTATTCTATGTATATAAATACATTTTAGGGGATTTACCTCCCTCTGATTGATAGTGGGTGTTTTGTATGATAATCGGGCAATGCTGTTCAGAATAATTCAACATAATGTTTTAGTTTTAAGATGCAAGCTGTATGGAAAGTTTGCAGGTGGTAAACAATAAAAGCTTATACTCTGCTTTTTATACTCTTATTTCGGCAACATTGGTGCTGAGCACAATCAGTTTTCTCTTAATGCACTTTCAAGATTTGGTAGGTAAGTTCACAGAGGCAAGAGAAACAGTGACTCAAGACATTTGTGCTTCTACAACTGAAGCTAATGTTATTAAATAGTATTAGCCCTTATTATTTGATTATTCCTCTCTCTCTCTCTCTCATTTAAAAGTAGGTTACAGCCCACAAAGTTGAACTTTACAGTTTGAACACCGTTGCTCTTGGTATCTACCTTGACATAACCATATCAGATCTTTTTGGTTTAATTCAGCTTTGTACGTTAGCGGCAAATTGTTTTCTGAAGGAAACTACTGTACACCAACACTGTCAGATAGTTCTATGGAACCACTTTCCCCCTACCTTTGGAATTACCCAGACTTCATTATGATTGCCTGTCGAGAGGATACGCAGTGATACAGCACTGCGGGGTTCATTTGGGTTTCCCTGGTCAGTACCCTGGTTGGACATCTTTTCATGCCGTCACTTGTTCTTGCCATTGGAAGGAATGTATATGATTCTTTTTTCTGATGGGCTGCCAGTCCTGTGGATTTATATGGGATCTTTAAAAATTTACAGTACACTCTTTGATCTGTTAAATGACTCATTTTTTACAATCTTTGTCATTTTTACTGAATCTTTTGATAAACTTTGTTTTTTGAATATTAATATAGTTGAATTTCTCGGTCTTATTTTGTATTTAAAACCTTTTGAGGTCTTGTTCAAAAAATTCATCCCTAGCCCAGGATTATAAAAACATTTGCAGATGCTTTTCTTAACATTTCAAAGTTTTACTGTTGACAATATTTAATCCATCTGCAGTTGAGTGTGTGTGTGTGTGTGTGTGTGTTTTGGATAACTGCCCTAGCACCATGGTGTCTCTTTTGCCTCTGACTAACATTGGCACCTGTGGTATACCACATTTCCATGTATGTGGGCATGTTTCTGGTCTTCTTCCCTATTAACTTTTCTGTTCATCAACCAATTTCATGTATCAGCTTTTATAGTTTATTTATAAACCTTAGTATAAAGGGCTAGAGCCCAAGCCCCACTGTCTCAGCTGTTCTTATATTTGCTCACCCAAGGAGTGGTCAAAATATATAGTGAATGTTTAAAGTTTTTTCATTATTACCATAAAAGATGCATTGCCCTTAAGCCCCATCACATTACCCCTCCTTGCTTTGCACCCATTTAGCTCATTCTTACCACCTTCTGAAGCAGTTGTTTCTGGAAGACCTCTTTTGTGAATGTCTTTAGATGTGCGGTTTGTGGCTGCTACGGTGTCCTGAGTCGATTAAGAATGTTTGCCTTTCATGCTCATTTTGACTCTGGGGAAGAGCCAGAGGTGCGTGATACCCCTGACCTGCCGCCTAAGGTGGGTGAGGACTCTCTGAATGTTTAGGAGCCGGTCTTTGGGGTGGAGGGGAAAGGGCTCCCTCCTATAACTGCTTCACAGATTGGCAAGAGTGATAGGTAAGTGGGGGTTTTTGAAGTGAGGGGAAGTATTTTGAGGGAGACTCATGTATCTTTTACTGTAATACATTCTTTAAACATTTACTGCTGTACGTGTACAAAGTCCAGCCAGACCGTGGAGAGCTCCCCCTCGCTCATCATCCACATGAGCATGTGGGGGCGCAGTCCTGTCACATCTCCGGACTGGAAGCCAGAGAGACCGGTGTCGCACAGTCCCCTCCAAGGGTCTGCCCCTAGGTGACCGTGAGAACTTCCACAAGGTCCCACTTCTTAAAGGTTCACCACCACCCAGGGGACCAAGCCCATGTGCATCCTTGAGGGAGACCGAAAACAGCAAAGCCCAGTGCAACTCTTACCCCTCCACCACCAGAGGGGACCAAGGGAAGGAGCTGCCTCAGCAGAGAGGGCTTAGCTTAGGAAATTCCAGGAGCTCTGATTCGGGCCTGGTAACCTGACACTCAGGTTGTGCAGCGCCCTGGCCGTCTTCTCAGCCCACCTCTAAGGCTGCCATTCTCCTGATGAGGGTGCTGAGTCAGTGTTTGCCTGCATAGCAACGTGCATAACTTAAAGGGGGCGTTTACGTGGTTCTCAGGACTTGTTTTGGGGCTTTCCGGTTTGTTTGAATGAGTCCTATGCTTGAGTGAAACCTTAATCTGTTTTATGTCTTTTCAGAGTTTCAAAATGGTGACACTCCTTTTAATATTTAAACACCAAACTTGAAACTGAATCCAAATGTAATAATATTTTCTAACTATGCATTCACACATACATACACACACATGCAAGCAGGCACAAATTTGTTACTCGGTTTTGTTCCAGAAAAACACAGAGACTGTGTGAGTAAGCTTTTTGTCACTGTGACAGAATACCTGAGGTAATCAGTAGGGGGAAAGGTTTACTTTGACTTTCAGTTTCAGAGGTTTCAGTCCATGGTCACCGACACTGTTACTTTGAATGATGGTAGCATAATACATCATGATGTGAGCATGTGGTAGAGGAGGCCAGTTCACCTCGTGATGGTCAAGAAAAAAAAGCCAGAGTCCCAGCATCCCCTTTAAAGGTCACTCCCACACTGTCACTTGACTTCTTTCCTCTAGGCCACACCTTCTAAAGGTTCCACCGCTTTCCAGCAGTGCCAGAGGGTGGGAACTGAGCCTTCCACACATAGGCCTTTGCAAGACATTGCTGTAAAAATCTCATATAAAAGCCAAATGTAGCAGGAACCCACTTCCGTTCATTTTGTTTTGTGTGGCAGTGTTCTGGAACTCAAGACTATGAAACTCGAGATCTTTCAGATGCTCTCCTTACAGAATAATTTTACAATGGTACTTAGAGGATTTGCTGCCATCCACATCCTTCCCCCACTCCCATTCAGAATGACTAAATTGAAGGAGTTAAATATGAATATGGGACCATTTATCAAAGTGGTTTTAATTCGGAGGCTTTGAGGAAGCTCAAGTGCTATTCAGTAAGTAGTGAGATGGCTGAGTTCTGTTTCTTTCGCAGGGTGTTGCTATTTAGATGTAAACTGGGTGTGCTGCAGTACACAGTTGTCAGACCTGTCACCACCATCGTTGCTTTGTAAGTATACAGATTTTACCGTCATCGTTCTAAATCCTTGTAAACACAGCCCAGTAGGAAAAGAGTATGAATTGTTAATAAAACAGGACAGCCTGCTATAAAAATCTCAATATATAAAAGCCTTACTCTACTAAGATAAATGACTGTTAACAAGCAAAGAATCAGCAGGGTTTATAGCCCTTCTAGAGTATTCCATAAAGCTTCAAAAAGGTGCTTTTTGAAATGTAAACATTCACCAGCTTTGCATAAAATGTGTAACTTAAGAGTAACTACGAGAGTTTATTCCATATAATTAAGTGCACCACTATCCATAAAAAGTCTTTTAAACATTGTCAAAATTTTTATAACTTGAGGTAAATATCGGGTATTATTAAGCTACCTAGTAAAACTATTTCCTAAAAATTGAAGAACATCAAATAATTAAACCTGGTATATTGTATGTGTCATCTATTAGTCCTATCATTCTCTGTGCTCACAAAGGAAAGATGGAAAGAAAGACAGGTGACAAAAATTCTATTCTTTATATATTTCCTTTGAGCAAGGAATTATTTAGCCAACTAAGACTAATATGTCTCTTTATGAAGTATACTTTATTTCTCTGCAGCTTAGAAACTGGATAAGCATATGACTTAATACTAACTGAAATGAATGAAACTTGAAGGAACTGGCTATTTCTATTTACCTCTAGGGGGAAAACTGAGATATACGTATAAACATACATCTTAACATTCAACCTTTTCAAAATCAGTTTTTTATTTTTTATTTAAAGAATAGAAAAAAGTAGACTACAGAATTCAAAAACACAACATAGAATCGCTAGTTGATACATTACATTGTCTTAACAATAGTTGTTAAAGTTATAAAATCAAAGCATAAAAAGTTGCTAGGCACTCAGTGCAATCTCTTCTGTTCAGCTGTCTAATAGAAATTTAGTAATATGGTCTCTGTCTTACTATACAAACCATTATATCCTTTAGAGCACTTTTCCTTCCCTTTCACTTTTACACTATCTGTGATACTTTTTGGATCCCCTTATTCTTAGTTCTATTTTCTATATTAGAGAGACAGTGTGATGTTTACTAATGTGAGTTGTTTCACTAATGAGGATGTTCTCAAGTAGGCATAGCTTTTTTGAAGTTAATGATTAATCTGTTTCAATGCATTGGTCTTTTGTATTTCCTTAAAGTTGGCACAGTAATGATGGAAACATTTCCAAAAAAATAATGTTGAATTACCTGTGACCAAAGCCAAGTGATTTCCTATACAGTCATTCAAATAAACTGACTTCAGAGTTTAAGTATTGCTGTTACTATAATTTAAAATACATGATTGAATCATAAAGTTGTCCCATTTTCTAATGTTTTGTAGAATCTGTGAGCTGCTTGGTATATACGATGAAGGAAATTTTAGCTTTTCAAATGCTTGGACTTACTTGGTTATAATAAACAATATGTCACAATTGGTAAGTTAATACTCATCATAATTTTGTTGGTCTGTATAGTTAAGTATTTTTAGGCATAGTTTCTTAGAATAAAGCTTAACTGCCTTTTTCACCTTGAAATTCAGAGAAACTGAAAAACAAACTACATACCTTTATACAATGGAGATACCTTGATATCCTTGTTTTCTGGTGTCTCTATCTCTGATTCTTATTGTTTTTTGGGTATGTCATAAATAAAAGCAGTGCTTCCTAAATAAAAGAAAAACACATACAACTGGGCATACTCTAAAGAGAAGGTAATTGGTATACAACTGGTCAGGTTTAAATAAAAATGGGATAGTAAAATTTTCTGATATTACATAGTTGGAATCAAAGGAAATTAATAGTGCCATGATTCTAGAAACTTAAAAATGTTCTGATAACTGATCCTGTGGATTTAAAGTACATGCGTTTGATTTAAAATCTCTGGCTAGTGTTTTCAGCAGAGTAATAATTTAAATGCAGTACATGCTTTATAATAAAAATGACCAGCTGTCCTAAGCTTTTCCATATGTTCGTCTTCTTTGTGACCAGTAATTCTTTGCCCAGGCAGGTATTCTTTGTTTTTTGTTTTGTTATTAGGCCCTTAAAAAAAAAAGTATTTGTATTTAAAAGACATTACAGATTTTGGCTGAACGAGAACCTTTTCTTCCATTTATGTCTGTCATTTATTTATTGTTCTGTTTAAGAACCACAGTTAAACACTTAGCATTTTTAGGGAAGGTATTACATGTCTCTTTTGAGAATCTTCATGCTGTAGATATTCATCTACAGCAAATGTTAGAAGCCTGTTGTCAATCTACAAGGAGTAATAAAGCCTAGAAAACTTTACTTGAAACACTACTCTGTAGCAAGTGTCTGGTTTAAATTCAGTGCTACTTTATTCTTGTTGAAGAAGTGGAAATGTTATCTTTGCAGTTCGCCATGTATTGCCTCCTGTTATTTTACAAAGTTCTCAAAGAAGAGCTGAAACCGATCCACCCTGTTGGCAAATTTTTGTGTGTAAAATTGGTAGTTTTTGTTTCTTTTTGGTAAGTGTTGCTTTCTCTTACATGTTCTTGTTTTTCTAAAAGGCAGTATAAAACTGTTGGTTTTTAAAGGAATGTTTAAGGTCAGAGTTCTGAGGATTCATTGTGGAAGTGCCTCTGGTGACTCTGTTTTAGAAGAGCACAGCTGTTAAAGCGGGTACAGGTATTTAACGGGGTGCACGGTTTCTTTGGGAATAGGCTGTAAAGGTAAAGCGGTGGCCTGCAGGTTGCACTGCAGTTTCAACTTTTTAAAACAACATTTTTAAAACAACTGCTTATTTTATGCTTGATGTAGATTTGGCTTTTACCTTTTCCCAACATACAGGCAAGCAGTCGCCATTGCTCTACTGGTAAAAGTCGGCGTTATTTCTGAGAAGCATACATGGGAGTGGCAAACTGTAGAAGAGGTGGCCACGGGACTCCAGGTAAACAGTGCGCTGTCTGAACTCAACAGAACTTTAGTTTTTGTTAAGCATTTTTTACAGATCTCCACTAAACCCAGTGGCATGCAGGCTATGGCACTACAACTATTACCCTCACCCTACAGGTGAGGAAACAGGAATCCTAGGGAACCTGGCTGCAAGTACTGATTTGTACTAGAACGAGACATCTAACCTGGATTTTGCTCTTTGTGGTCTAGTTCTCTTTCTCTTTCTCTTTTCCTTAGTCTGTGGGTGGCAGATTGAGAATAGTGTACTCTGCAAGGAAATACTTGATTTAGGTAGTATAAAATACTCAAATTTGCTCCTTTTTTGTAAAGGTAATTTTGAGGAAAAAAATATGAAAAGAAAAGACATAGACTGAAGCAAATACTTTTGAAAAGTACTTGGAAAAAGAACAGTTTAGCAAACCAAATTTAAACCCAAAGACAGCTGCTATTTTTGTTGTCGTTGTTGTAGGACTTTATTATCTGTATTGAGATGTTTTTGGCGGCAGTTGCCCATCATTACACCTTTTCCTATAAACCATATGTTCAAGAAGCAGAAGAGGGCTCGTGCTTTGATTCCTTTCTGGCCATGTGGGACGTTTCAGATATTGCAGATGATATTTCTGAACAAGTAAGGAATGTTGGTGAGTACCAACCACTTAATTCTTCCAACTAATTTGGTAATTTTGTTTTTCCCATTAAGCCAGTTATTCATTATATAAGAAATGAAAAGGCTGTGTAGAGCAATACTGTGGTACAGGCTCTTCAGATTTAGGAGGAAATGGGCAAACGGGAGCTTCTATTTGCAATGTTTAGTTTACTGTGTTAAAAAACAGCCTGCCTAATGTGGAAACCTTCTTATTACTTTAAAGGACGGACAGTCAGGGGACATGCTAGGAAGAAATTTTTTCCAGAGGATCAAGATCAAAATGAACATACAAGCTTACTATCATCATCATCACAAGATGCAATTTCCATTGCTTCTTCTATGCCACCTTCACCCATGGGTCACTACCAAGGGTTTGGACACACCGTGACTCCTCAGAGTACACATACTACAGCTAATATACCTGATGTAATACTAAATGACACTACAGAAGAGAAAAAAGCGTGTTCAGATAAACCTATGGACTCCTAAACAATGTGCAGAAGCAGACTGCTATATCCATGTTATTTCATCACCTGGAATCCCATGGATCAGAAGACTATGCTTGGGACAAGCCATAATGATGGAAAATTTCAAAACAGAGACAGGTAAAAAGCCAGATAAAACCAATGGATGTTGTATATCATAAATAATAAATTCAAATTTCCTAGACTTAGGCTTGATTCCTTAACATTAGAGTGTTGCATACCGAGATGGTAGAAAATGAATCCAACTAAAATGCTTCTGATGCTACATTTCTTTATCAAGAGAATGGATATAAAACTTCCTCCCACTGCTGCATGATTGTAATGCTCTGGACAGAAAGCATAATTCAGATATGTGAGCTAGTGGAACTTAATCATGTGCCATATAAGCTTACCTAACATTTCTCTGTTTCTTAACTGGATACTGGATGTCTTTCAATAAATAAGAATTTATCACTTATTTTCCACAACTCTTTATGTTGATCATTCAATCATAAAACAAGACTCTAACCAAAATTTTTTTTCAGTATTAGAAGTGGCAGGAAATATAAATAATCTTGGCTGAATTGCTTTAATTATTCATTAAAACAATAATCAGAAGAACTATAGTTCTTGAGATTAACTTACTTAGGATGGGATTTTCTAAATTGGTAATCACAACCTTTAGAATCATTTTTATATTTTATTATAAAAAAGAAAATGACATAGTATGTTGCAAATGGCAAGGATGAGGTGTTTCTCAAAACTTTTGCTTTATATATTTGTGCACACCTACATGCATTTCATATATGTATATATGTGATCATAGTAATTAAGGTACAGAATTTATTTTGTCCAGTATTATAAACATTTCTACAGAAAGTAAAGCTGGGTAATATGTATTTTTAAAAACTCAGATCCCACAGAAAAGTGTAACAACAATAAATGAATTCAGTAAAGTTGCAAGATATAAATTTCAGTAGCATGGTTCATACACAAATTACAACCTAACTGAAAGAAAAAGAAAATAATCCCATATGGTGGCATCATGAACTACTTAGGAATAAATTTAATTGAGATGGTAGTTAAAACTGTAAGACATTCATGAACACTGAAAAACTAAAACTGCTGAAATTGAAGACAAAGAAAAGACAAATGGAAGGATACCCTGTGTCTGTGAATTGGAAGAATACAAATTCAGTGCAGTCTCTGCTAAGTCTAAATTGGCATTCTTCATAGAAAGAAAAAAAAAATCCTACAATTCACCTACTCAAGACAATTCTAAGACAAAAACAGGAACAATCACATCTCCTTGTTTAAAAGTATATTATGAACTAAGTGTGTGGCCCACAAGTTTGCAGACCCAGCTCACTTAGAAGACAGGTGGGAAGATCAGGTGAGCCCAAGCATTCAAGATCAACCTGGGTCACAAAGTCAGACATCAGCTCAAAAACTGAAATTATATTACAAAGCCATAGTAGTCAAAATACTATGGTATGTCATAAAAACACAAGGACCAGTGGCAAAAGTCCAGAAATAAAACCAAACACGAATGGTCAAATAATGTTTGACACAGACACCAAGAAGACCCAGGAAAGACAGTCTTTTCAAAACAGTTATGCCAAGAGGCCACTGTGTTCTCTGCTGCATGATGGCCCAGCCTCAATGCTACATGGCATTCTCCTTTTCCTACTTTTACTTGGCCTAAACTCACTCTGCCGAGCCTGTATCTTTTCCTACCTTTAATGAAATTGTTACCAGTAATTAAAAAAAAAAAGAAAGATTCTGCTGGAACACCAGATTTCCACATGTAAAAGAGATGAAACTGGACTCTTGTACACCAAAAAAAAAAAGTCAACTCAGTATAAAAAAGAGATTTCCACATGTAAAAGAGATAAAACTGGACTCTTGTACACCAAAAAAAAAAAAAAAAAAGTCAACTCAGTATAAAAAAGCCCTAAATTAAAAGAGCAGAAACAAACTCCCAGACAAGAACACAGAAGTGAAGGGCCTGGACACTGGCCTTAGCGATGGTTTTCTAAGATACTATACAGAAGTTCAGCCACAGAAACAGAAATAAATGGTACTAAAGTAAGCTTCATTCATCATTCCACGTAAATATTCAGCCAACTCTAGACCAGGAATATATGTGGGGCTGGGGGAAAGCATCTTGTACTGAACATTTAGTTTTTCATCATTGCCTACATAACAGAGTGTAACTATTTACACAATGTTAGATGTTTTAACTAAAGGTAATTTGGATTATACAAATAGTAATCCACAGATTTTCATTTACAAGGGAAGGTCTGGAACCAATCCCTTACAGACACTGAGGGAAACCATACCTCATGCTAAAATGGTGTACACAGCAATCTACAAGTTGGGAGAAAATATTTGCAAGCAATATAATAAGTTAATATATAAAACTAATAAAGGATTCATACAACTTAATAGAAAAACAATTTTGTTAAAAATGGCAAAAGGCATGAAATGAACAAGTATATGAAAATATGTTCAGTATCATTAATCATCAAAAAAATGCAAATCAAAACTACTAGGAGATACTACCTCCTTCACCTGTTGGGATAGCTATTATAAAAAGCTGAAAGACAGTGCTGCAAAAGGTGTTGAGAAAAGGGAACTCCTATACACTGCTGATGGAACTAGTGGTCATTATGAAAACTACAAAGCTTTCTAAATATAAAAATGGACTTACACTCAAAGGAGATGAAATCACCACATTATAAAGGTACCTGCACTTCATATGCATGTATCACTATTTAACACAGGTAAGGTATGGAAAAACCTAGGCATCCATCCATGGATAAATATATTCAAAAACTACAGTATATATATATATATATATATATATATATATATATATAATAAAACATTCATTCTTTAAAAGAGAATGCAGTCTTGTCATTGGGAAATTGAAATATACAAAGATAGAAAACAAAACACTGGCCGAGAAAAGTTACTGGCAATGAGTAGGAAATGTAGTGTTATACATCAGAAATACAAAGCAGGTATGTAGGCTAAAGATCAGTGTATAAAACCAGGATGTTATGGTATTCCCACAAAGCCTCATGCAGTCATACAGGGGACTTTCAGAGGTGGCTGATCTAGGTTGTGTGATGCTGGGATTAAGGATGTGATGCTAGGATCAGGGTATGAGTGGTATCCATCCGAATGGTGGGAAGCCTGAATATATAAGGAACAGAAAGAGGGTCATTGATTGTCGTTGCTGCCTCTTGCCTGCCATGAAATGTTTCTCCTCTACAAAGCCTTTCTGCCATGCCACCCTTCCTTGGAGCCAGCAAACTGAACTGAAACATCTACAAGCTAAATAAACCTTCCTCTTTTAACTTTGGATGTTGGGTATTTTGTCTCAGCAACGAGAAAAGTAAGACAAAGGATAACAGGTAATAAAATACTGTGAGAGTTACGCTAAATGCTAGCTGTTTTTGCCACAAAAAATTTTAAAAATGTATATATTATGATAGATGTTAACTTCATTATCACAATCTTTTTATTTACATGTGTATTATAACACATGTTGTACATCTTAAACAATTAAATTTATTTTAAAAAAAAGCTGGGGACCAAGAATATGGATCAGTGGCATAGCACCTATATGTCAAATGCTAGGTCCTGAGTTCAATTCCAGGTACCAAAAAAAGAAAAAAAAACCACACAAAAAATAAATCAAGCTGAGTAGTGTAGTAATACTGACAGTAAGAATAGACAAAACAGCATATAAAAGGTTTGAAAATCTCATTTCCCTCTTTCAAAAGTCTACTTATTAAAGTGGGATTTCTTTCTTACTGTGCATCCAAATCAAAACAATAATACTGGTTTAGAATTAATGTTTAAATTTTGTCAGCTTTCTAATTTTTATTTACTGAAACAGATCAGGGAAAAAAATGCCTCCTAATGATGTATTTGTTTCCTAACTTTCAATCTTTAAGTATTCTCTTAGTATTTAAAAGAAGTAGGGTTGGGATTTACAGTAATGCTTAGTCTTTTGTGGAGGCCTACTATTAAGTGTTTCCCAATGATGAGTCAAGATGCCTAAAACATTAAATTATTGCTTTACTTGACACAACCATGGGGTTGATGTTTAAAATCTCTATAAAGAAAAATAGTTTCCTAATTTAAAAAAAACCAATGATGTATTCTTTCCCAGAAAGCAAGTTTGCAGCAGTAATACAAAAATAATGCTACTCTTTAACTTAGAATCTTTTGAATATCCTTTCTTAATGTCACATTTGAAAAATATTTGATCATTTTAAAGAATTAAGATTTTATACATCTATAATTACAAGCCCAAAACTTCAAACAAGAATGGTACTTGATGCTCTAAATGATGTTTTTAGTAGATAGTGGTTCTTCACTGTTTGACGGTGATGCTGACATTGCTCTTGTGATGCTGAACACTAAGAGTAAGTTCCTCACCCACTTCAACCCGGATAGGGTTCGCTAAGACAACTGCAGCTTGTTTCCAGTGGGAGGCTTCACTTGATGTGTCCAACCGAATCTCATCATCAAGGTACATGTGGTACCAAAACGGAATAGCAGTCACTTGGCCAGATTTACAAATGTGTACCTGTGAAAATTGAGAAATTATGAAAATTTCATTAGGGTAAACAGACTTGCATAAGTACGTCATCTTTCTCTGTGTAGTTAATTTTAAGTAAAAATTTTAAAAAATATTTAGTTACCTAATTCAAACATTAACCAAACTTATTCATAAATATTGACTCAAACCCATTCTTATATATTATTCAGAAAAAAATTTTTGAACCTTCAAAGAAAATGGCTAAAGGAATATATAGTTACAACAAGTTTAAGATAATCATTGTGAATAAGCACAATCATTTTGCATGTGTTATACCTTTACTTCTCTGTTGGACGTGTTCAAATATGGAGTCATTAAATCTAGTCTTAAGAGTTCCACTGGCTTGCTTAAAGGTATACAGGACAATGAGGACAGGTCCAAAAATACACGTATAGGCACCTAGAAAAAGTGTAAAATTTCTCACTTTTACACATTGTTTTGTAGTCAAGGATCATCATATTTCTGATTTGTATTTGGCTCAGTATAACAATGCTTTTTACAGCTATTGCATCACTTATAGTCCCACATTGGCCTAAAGCATATGGCTTTCCTTATTTGTTTCTGCAGGAAGAAAAACCAAGGTTTAATAAGCAGGGCTGGTACTTTGCTATGATTTCAACTGTATGTCGTACACTAGGATGAAAGCAGAATAAACTAGTAATGCCAAATGGCTCCAAAAAATTTAAACCTAGAATTTGGTTGTAAACCAAGAAATAGGGCCAGGGATTTAGCTCAGCAACATAAACACCTGCCTGGCAAGAGCAAGGTCATGAGTTCGATCCCTGGTACCGGGAAAAAAAAAAAATTAAAAATTAAAAAAGAAAAAACCAGGATGAAACAATACTGTTTGACAGATATGTGGCTCTCATTTGGAAAAGTTTATTTCTACAAGACAGAGATTCTCATCCTGGCTACTTAAATAAATTCACTAACCAGGAAAGATTATAGAGTCCCTCTTGATGAGTAAGTGGTCAAGAATGGAATGAGACCACTACATGGAATGGAAGTAGGGACCAACTACAGCGTGCTGATACAGAGAACACAAAGTGATAGATTTAACCACATTTGGGTCTTCCAAGACTAACAGAAACAGTGAAGTGACATTTACATTTAAAGTATATGAAAAGCTATATGAAAATATATAAATCACAGAATATAAGCACCTAGGAAAAAGAAGATATGAAATGGGAGCTTCACTGAATCAAGATACAGATGCTAGCAGAATCAAAGAACTAATGTCAGGATCAAGAGAGAATATGGCAAAGATGGCAATATTTTAGGGCCATACAAAGAAATAATTTAAACTTCTGTCTCTTCTGATAAATGTATTTTCTTTACTAAGCCCCTGAAAACACTAAGATGAACTCTAAAACCTTAGCCCTTTAAAAAGTAGTTCCACACATGATTTGTATTTGACTGGTATTGTTGAAAAGATCTTACACATTCAAGATCTTATTATCTTATCACCAATAGGCCTTAGTAAGTTTTAGATAGTAACGCTGTACTCAATAGCCCACTTACCAAGATTTTACTTTAACCTCTATGGTACTGTCCTACCTGCTTTCCCTGTCTCCATCCCCAAACTGCTTCCATGGGCTTTTTACCACTTCAACTGTAAACTCACAGAACTGTACAGCAGCAAAGTACAAATGAGTTTCACCCTGTATAACAAGTTTCACCCTCCTTGATCCCTAAACTGAAACTAACTTCTCTACCCAGAGCTCCCTTTTCCTAGGCAGCTACATTCTTGCTCCCTATAGTTGGACTAGACCAGTGGTGGTGAACATACAGCTCATGTGCCATAATGGACTGTTTGTATCACTGAAGGCTCTAAAAGGTTACCATCACTGCTGGACCCTGGATTTTGGGTGTCACACCTATCAGGGGCCAACCTGAAGTCTCAAAGTATAGTTCAAGTTGGAACACAAATCAGGATGCTTCTTTTTTAATCAAGGAGAAACCTTTTTCACATGACAAAAACCTAGTGCCCTATTTCACATTTATAAGTGACTCAGAGGAATATCTACAAACTGAACATGACCCTCAGGTTGATTTTTACCCTTAAGTTCTTTTGCTCTTAGAAACTGACTGCCATTCTAATCCAGCTACACATTGTGATTAAAACCAAAAAGAGAAATATGGTAGATAATAGCATCCAGATAGAACTTCTTAAGACTCACCTGGAACTGGTTGATAAAAGGTGCTATATTCAACCCAAGAGTACATTCTGTTCCTTGAACAGCATTCTCTTCCACCAGTGTCTGTGATTCCACAAGCATCCCAAACATCAGCACATACTGAGGAAAGATCTTCCCTCCAGGTTGCAGTAAACACCTAAAGAAGGATAAACATTTTTTTACCAGACATGATAGCACAGACCTATAATCTCTACCCTTTGGGAGACTGAGACAGGAGGATCATGAACAAGATCAAGTCCAGCAAGAACCTGTCAAAAAAAAGCCTAGGGATGTAGCTCAGTGCAGAGACCCTAAAGTTCAATCCCTAGAACACACTCCCACCAAAAAAGATACATATTTTTTAAAGCTGTTTGATTTCCTAGAATCATGAATTAAGCACACTAATGGAATTTGTATGATTCTTGGTTTGTAGTTCAGAATGTAGACTACTGAAATTTTTCAACAAGTCAAAAAGAAAAAGTAATTGCTGATCTGTGAAAGAGAAAAATAACCAATCAGCTAGATTGGACTACATCCCTCAAGGCAGCCGAGAGCCATTAATGGAGAAAAAACTACAACTGTTCCTATCCAGAAATCCAAAATCTGAAATGCTCTAAATTTTCTGAGTGTATACAGAATGCTATATTTGGAAAATTCTATACCTGACCTCATTAACAGGTTGTATTCAAATTGCAAGCACATTGAAAATACTGTATACAATTACCTTCATATTGTGTATAAGATATATATAAAGTATGAATGAATCTCATGTGCAGAATTGGTACAATCAATCCCCAAGGTATCATATAAATGTGAATATTCCAAAATTTTAAAAAACATCTAACTACTTCTGGTCCCAAGTATTTCAGATAAAGATACTCAACCTACTGCAGGTGGAAATTTGATTAAGAAAAGGATATTTACATAATCTTAAAACATATCACCCCATAAATGACAATAAATGATAAAGGAGATAATAGTAAATTATTATGAAAACTCCAGTGAAGTGTGGAAAACTTAAAACAAGAGTTCTAACTAGCATTAACAATAATGGTATAAAGCAACACTATGTGACTTCAAATGGTGATGAAATTTGTGGACCTTATAAGAAAATATGAAGAACATCCTATAGACTAAAAGCTCTACACTCTTCAAAACAGTTCATGTAATGAAAAACTGAAGCACTGTCAATAAAAGAAACTAGAGACATGAAAACTAAATGCAATATATGATCTTGGGTTTGACTTTGGACCAGGAACAAAAAAGGTATGGAAGGCACTGTGACAAACTGAAATACTGCATCCATGTAGATTTTCTGATTGTGATAATGGCTCGGTGATTCTATAAATGAGTACAGCCTGTCTTGTTCTTAGGAAATAAACATACAAAGTATCAAGGATAAAGGGACAGGATATCTGAAACTGTTTCAAAAAAATCACACAGGTTCATACCAGCCAGCCTTCTAGCGATGAAGCCTTCTTAGCCATGAAATCTACGGGTGAATGACAGGGAGAGAAAAACCATGCAAGTCATTTAGGCAGTCTGAGGGTCAGACTTGTAACACTTCTGACACCAAGCATGGGTGTTTTTTTCCCAGTAGTGGGCACCTGGAATTAGCGTCAAACTCCCCAAGTTAAGGCCTCAGTCCTACACAAAGGCCTTCTATCAGAGATGCCTATCCTAAATCCTGAATTTCCAGGACTTCTGGCCAACAATCTATAAATGGAGTATTCCCACAACTTCTTAATTAGGTTCAATAATTTGCAAGAATGAATCATGCTTAAATTGTAAAAGTTCCCCAAAAAGGCTTACATGTTAAAGGTCTGATTCTCAGGGCAGTAATATTCAAAGGTAGGTGGTTGAGTCCTAAGTGCCCTAACTTCCATCAGTGGATATTTAATGGCATTATTGGGAGGTGATGAAACTTAGGAGCTGAGGCCCCAGCTGAACAGAGTAAGTCACGGAGGCATTCCTTTGAGCACTATATCTTGTCCCCCCACCCCCAATTCTCTGCTCTCCCACGTTTTCTGCTTCTTGCTTGCACAAGGTCAGCAGCTTTCCTCACCATGCCTTTCTGCCATGTTTCCTCCTTGCCACAGGCTTAAAAGTAGTGGAGTGAAACCTGTGAAACCATGTGCCAAAATCAATCTTTCTTGCTGTAAGTTACTTTTCTCAGGTATCTTGCCAGTGATAGAAAACTGATTAATACAGCTCACAACTGAGAAAAGCATTTAAGATTTACTGATAAAAGACAACTGGGGATGTAGCTCATTGGTAGAGTGCTTGCCTAGCATGTACAAGGTCCCAAGTTTAATTCCCAGTACTACCAAAAAAAAATTTTAAAAAGGCAACTCAGGAATACCCAAATAAAAGACATACAGAGCAAATGATACTATGATCTATAAGAACATAAAGAGTCATTAAAATACTCAAATTTTTAAAATTACAGTGAAAAAAATTGCCCTTAATCCCTTCAAAGTATTCTCCCTCACTTCCAACACATTCCCATCATCCTTGCCACTTTCTAAAGAAGCTTCAGAAGTCTTTTTTCATATCCTTAGGAACTGTGATCAAAACTATGGTGAATGCAGCTGCCAAATACCATCAGTAGTAAAATCATTAAGGTGTGTCCTCATCCATCTACTTCATGGGACCTAGAGCTGGCCCTGTGCAGTTCCTGGCTCTTTCTCAAAAGTCAAACTGATCAGGAAAGATAAAACATTCTGAGTCAGTTCAGGACATGACAGCATTAGCTACAGACACATGAAAGAGGACTTCCAAACTGCCTCCGAAGGTGGTGAGAATCATGGCATACATGGTTTGATATGAGAGGGAATATTTTCTGGGGGAACTCACCACAGTGTATCTTTCACTGATAAGTTATTTTTTAATTTAAACATTTTCTGTGCTTGTGGACCACATCTGTGGTTATCTGGTTGTGGTTTATCTGGTCTTCATCCTGTTTCCTGGCACAGAAGTCCTAAAGCTCTGTCTCCCAGACAATAAAACAACCCTTTATATGCTGAGATGGCTTCTAGCTACCTCAGGGTGAGTGCTGCCTGCCCAAACGACCCAACTTTAGATTAACAGCTTAGGATTTTTCCCTCACCACTACTTCCACAGAGAAGCATGAAAGGCTAAGAATTAATCACCAAAGCCACTGATGTACCGTATCACACCTACAACCGAAACCCCATAAAAAACCCAGCACAGAGTTCAGAAAGCTGCTGTGTGGCTGAACATGTGGAGGTTCCTTGAGGACAGTGTACCCAAAGAGGCCACAGAAGCTCTGACCCTCTCCCCATGTCTTGCCTTATGTATATCTTCCTTTGTCATAGCCTTTATAATAGAGGTTGATCTAAACAAAGTAATTTCCTGAAGTCCCTGAGTTGTTCCAGCAAATTAAATACAAACGAGTTTATAAACTGAGGAAGGCCTCCAATTTATAGATAGCAAATCAATCAGAAGTATAGGTGATAAACTACCACTTGTGTCTGGCGTCAGAAGTTGAAGGGAGGCTTGTAGACCTGCGTCTTCAATCTCTGGGATCTGAAACTAAAAGCAGGTAGAAGTGCTAGAATTAAAACTAACTACTTGGTGTACTGCAGATCTGGTGTCAGAAGTGTGTCCCAATTTAAAAGTCTAACTCTAAATGACAAAAATTCTGCCACTTCCTTGTCATCCAACACACACACAAATTTAAGTATTTTTTTAAGTTTCCCAGGCTTTCTAGCGCTGCATTTTAAAATCTTGTATGAGTGAAAAGAATAAACTAGGAATGACTGCAAACTACAACTATAAGCACTTAAGTTCACTAAATGACCCATTTTTCCTTGTCATATTATTACAGTCCAAACAGCCAGATTCCTTTTATTTCTATCCCAAATATAAACTATTCTTCCCAACACCAGCTTCAGCCCTTTTGATCCTTCATGAGGTCTCCCTACTGTAAAAAGTTGAAGACAGTAACACAAGACTTAAGTGAGAGTATGCATACTTCTAGCTCTATGATCAAAGTTAAGTCTACATATTCATAAGTCTACATACTTATCAATATAAGTATGTACTAACTTAGGATGAAGGAAAGAAATTTGTTTTGCTACTGTTACTCTAGAGACATCTGAGGAGGCACCTGGGGAAGTTTCCTGGCTGAAACAGTGTTTAATTTAGTTTAAAAACCAAACAAATTCAGTAAAATGGCACAGTACCAAATCAACTCACAAAAATCACATACTGTGTAAATCATCAAAAAAAGTCTGTGTAGTGGGACACACCTTAATCCTAGCACTCAGCAGGTAAGGCAGGAGAATCACTGTGAGTTCCAGGCCAGCCTGCACTACAAACTGAGTTCAAGGCTATCCTGAACTGCACAGTGAAACCCTGTCTTCAAAAACACAAAAAAAAAAGTTTGAAAAAGAAAATAAAAGACAATTTTATTCACAATAGCAATAAAAGTAATATTTAGAAATAAACTTAACAAAAGAAACAAAAAAGTTTTACACTGCAAACAGTAAGCTTTCCTGCAAAAAATTAAAACACAAGCAATGTTCTGTGTGGGAAAGCCGTCAGCAAAAGTTTTAACCTCAGCATCAGAGATTAATGCTACAAAAGTAATAAACACATGAGATTCACTAGCTATAGGTTCATGTTCTAAACACAGACCACTGAAAACACTTTTATCTCTGTAATCAGTATGGCAGAACCTTCAGTGCTCATCACTGAAGAGAATTTGTACTTATTTCATCTATAACAGCAAACTTTAGACAGTGGACTGACCAAGTATAACTTAAGCAAAAGGGAGAAATCACGTATCAGAGAAATTCTATATCAATGTGGAACTGTCTTCATTTACAGCTTATTCCTTAAAACAATAAGTACAAGTCATAGCACAGAATCCCTATCTCTGTAATTATTGTGCACTCTTATTTGGCTAAGCACTAGTCCTGGTGTGCACAAGAAAACTCAGTGCAAAAAAACTGCTACCGTAAGACACAAGTGAACATATTTGTTATTCAGGCCTCTTATTTTCAGATATTCATTCCAAACTTTAGGAAATTACTAAATACCACTGAACATAGGATTCTGTATAAAATTAAGGATTTGAGCTAAAAGCCTGATATTGAAAACAAGAGTAAATTGTGCAATTTTGATGTAATCTGGTAATACTGAAAGCAGAATTGTAGAATAAATGAAATTAAACTTGATTAATATACTGCCAAAACCCCAAGTAAAGTGTTGCTTAGTAATCTAAAATACTAGTTAAATTCTAAATTTTTATACATTTTTAAATAAGGAAGAAACTTAATGGTGACTCCAATTTCTAGCTCTGGTGTGGAAAGAGGAGAAAGAAAAGAGGTAAGAGAGACGACAGAGAAGACAATGGGTGAAGAACTGCTCTACACTAACAGACTAGAGAAATCAAATGCCTGAATGCAACATGACCCTGCCTTTGAGTCTAGACAGGGGGAAAAAAAAGATTTATAAAGTACAGCACCGGATGATCAACTGAGAAAATCTAAATGTGTTGTGAACTGTATCTTATCAATGTTAATTGCCTGATTCTGATCATTTACTACAGTTCTGTATGCAAATTTTTTGTTCTTAAAAAATACCCTAAAGTAGTACTAAAAGGGTATTATACCTACAACCTATTCACAAAAATAAAATAGTGTATGTATTGGGGAAATGAAAGTGATAAAGCAAATAAAAAAATACAAATGACTGGTAAATCCACACGAAAGTATGAAAACTCTTGCAACCTTTAAAATTAAGTCAGATGAGCATGTGTATCTAAACTATAATAAAAATTTTCAAGCACTCACCATATTTTTCAGTTATACCTAGTAAATGAATGAGACATTAGTTTGGCAAAGACTACTCTGATAGATATGTCTGAAGAATCAGTCTATCAAAGAACACAACCTTTCCTAGTTTGTGGAAAAGCTATGTCCCCCATATATACATGTATTTATTTTTAATGTATATTTATATATACATACACATTGCCTTCTTTGTCGATCTGAGCAGCATAGCTAAATTTTGATTTGAAACTTAGCTAAATTCAGTATTAAATATTAGGGCCTAGTTTTCAACAAGCAACCTATACCAAATACCTTTAGGAAGAGATGTAGGGTAGGGGGAGCATGATTTTAAAATTCAAGAGAACTAAGTTTATTCCTAAGCAGCATTCTGATATGCCATCTTACATCATTAAGATGCAATTTCATTTTTTTCTTATCCAGAACTATTGCCATATCTGTTTTTATAAATCTAAACCTAATTTCCTATTCTATACAGGATATTTAAACTAGAAAGCAGGCTAACTTCTTCACACCTACAGTGCAGAGCCCTACAAGGACAAAAAGTTCAGTAGTAACATACGCACAAAAGAAAAAGTCACAATTCCTGAAAAGCAATGCTTGAGGAATACACAAGAATCTTAACTGATTTTTTATGGTTATACTCTTAAAGAGCTAAAGGAATTTCACATTTGAACTCAAAAAGTCCAAAATGTGTATTTTGTCATTTACCTGGATATTGCAGCTTTTTCCATTATTTCCTGCTGAATGAGCCCAGAAGGCTCAACGACATCCAATATAATTATGCTCCACAATTTGTCTGACTTAGGCCTTTGCAAGACAGCAGATTCATCCTCCACATGTCTCAGCCAAAACTCAAGGGTGTCTTTAGGAAAGTGACTGGCTTCAGCAATGAGGTCCAGAGCCATCCGGTGTTGGTCTTTCTCCACAGAACTATAAGGCTTCACCTGCCCAAGTGTGCCAGCAATTACAGGCAGAATAGAGAAGCCTTCAGACACATCCAACACATAGAAAGGTTCGGGGCTTCTCTGTTTCAGAGACGTTTCAGAGCTCATTTCATTATCCTCACAGTGAGTATCCGTGCTCTGACACAATTTCTCTGGGGTCAATGAAGACAACACTTTTCTCATTGCCATTTTAAAGCTTTCATGATACAGGATGTTGTTAAGTAAAGCAATTTCTGTAGATTCCAACACACACATCTGCTCCACCCCATCTGATTTACTGGTCTGAAGGTTAGCCAGGGCACTACAGAGTTCAGCCTCATTTCCTAAAGATAGTAAGTCTTTATCCTTGGCACAACTTTTTGAAACTTCCATTTCATGGTCCAAATCCAAAACATTGATACTCTGGATTCTTAGGTAACAATCTTGACAAGATACTTCCATTGTTACATGGTCCCCAGGCTTTACCCTATAATCTTCATTAGTAAGGAAAAAAAGTAATTGATTAATATAGTGTAATAAACCTGAGGATCAGACAAAAACTTCCATCTCATCTAATTCCGTAATCTTTAAATCACTACAAGAAAGATTACATGTGTTAGTTTAATATATGCACACGGACAATTTCAACACCAGCTTTACTTAGGGAAAGACTAAAGATTCCCTTAACTTTTAGCATAATGTAAAATATTCAAGAGCTCTACTACTGAATCTTAAGACTAACAGTACTATGGATTTTGTGTGTTTTTTTACTGCAATCAGTAAGTATCATCAAATGCCTGATGTCACCAAATCAGGGAGGGAGAATCGAGGGGCAAGAGAGTAGAAGTAGTGCAGGGGATGGATACTCTATTATCCTTTGTGTTTAAGCAAACAAAAACAAAGACAGATAAAATTCAGAGATAAGTAACACACTCCACTTTACCTTACAGAAGCATTCTTTAAAAGAAAGTTTATAAAGAACAAGACAACATTCAACAGAATGTTAATATTTCTTAACCATTAGGTTACTCACATGTTTAGAAATTTCAAAATATAAGAACAGATTAAGACCTAAAATGGACTGTATCATTCTCCTCTCTATGAGCTTTCATATGTGGTAAAACTTTAGAGCATAAATGTATAATTGTAATTCTTCTCATCTGTTTTAGAACCATTTAAAAATACAAGTTTTAAAATGTCCTTTCTCTCAGGATTTAAAAAAAAAAGGACATTTAAGTTGCTGTAGAGTTACTATAAATACAGATTTAAAAATGTCATTTACTGAGTACCAATCATTATGGGTAGGCATTTTATGCTTATCATCTCCAAAGATTCCCACAACACATCCAGTTTTACATATGATACACAAAAGCTCTAGGAAATGAACAAGGCTGGCCAGCAGGGATTAAGTGGCATAGCCAAGATCTGAATGCAAACCTACCAGACTCCAAAAATGTCACAGTAGTTACAATACTATACAAATTCTTTGACTTAATGATCTTGCAAGAGGCTAAATAGAAAATATATTACCTTCTAGTTTAAAAAGGGTAAAACCCTTTCTAGATAAACAGCTGTGAATGTACTAAATCTTACCAAGTAGCTTTTTTAAAAATTTCCATAAAAAAAATATATCTTTAATGTAGAATTCTGAAATTGCAAAGCTTTGTACTTACTTTAGCGTGTACATTTTTATTACCTGGGGCTACATAGACGTCACCAGACCAGCATTTCTTTCATCTACTGACAACTAGAAAAACCATTTAAAGCCATAAACAAATTAAAAATAAGTATTTCTGAAGGGTATGCAACACTGTTATATTTTAATCTTTATTACATGTATTAAAGAATTATTTTGAAAAAGAAAAATAAAATTCTGAAAGACTGAACCAATCTATCGTAAATGAAAACATCATACCAAAGTAAAAAAATTTCTGAGCCTCTGTTTCAAATGCTCAGCAAATTAAAGCAACAAGTTTAAAAAAAAAAAAAATACGAAGCTGGGGACATGGCTCAGTGGCACAGCGCCTGCCAAGCAAGCACTAGGTCCTGACTTCGATTCCAGGTACCACCAAAAAAAAAAAAAAAAAAAACATGTACCTGTAAGTTCTTGCACAGGGTAAACAGCCTGTTCCCAACATGTTTCCTCATTAGGACTTGTGGACAAACTGTGCTCATCGTCAAGCTGGAGCACAAACCAAACTATAATGGCATCTAGTACACCCTCTTTAATAACACGAATACCAAGCTTATCAGGTTTTTTGGTTGCAAGACTTTTTAATTCCTAAGAAAAAATAGAAAAGGAAAAAGAAGATTTTATAGATTGTACAAACACATGCCTCAATATCATACCACTGTCCACTTCTGAAGCTTCCAGTTCTGTGCAGCACCCTCAGGGAATACACCAACCACCTACCACACTGGATGGGGAGCTCGGCCTGGTGAACTGGACAGCACGCACTTAGTGATCAGAGTGAGGCGAATACACACTACTGATGCAGCAAGGAGTCCATGACATGTTGTCAGAAGCAAAGGCAACTGGCAGGGTAGTAACACTATTCTATTATAAACATGTATTTGTAGAATGAAAACAAAAAAGCCCTTCAAACTAGTGGCCTAGAGAAAGAAGGACCAAGACTAACAAAAGAAAAAAAGTAACCGAGTCTTTTCATTTCTAGTCTTCCATCTTACTTAAAAGCATAAAATAGGCAGACATTATTTTTCAAATTAAAACCTTAATGAGATAGGGGCAATGAAAAATTAATATAAAAACTCTAAAAATAATAAAAGGACAGCTTCGGGGTAATTAATAATTCCTACTGGAATGTTATATGTCAGATAAGGAAAGATCTTTAAGCTCAGGACTATTGCTCAGCTTAAGCAAGCAACATCAGATTATTAGTTTTAGACCATCTCAAGAGCCAACCTCATAATAGCTAGCGGAAGAAAATGTCTAAGTTTAAAAACTTTAGCTAAAATGACCTTCACAGTTTTCTACCCCAAGGCACATTCATCTAAAATGTGTGAATTTTCACATCTAACTTTAAAGACCTTCAGAAAAGGAATCTAATATAGTCCTATAATCCCAGTGCTTGGGAGGCTGAGGCAGGAAGATCACTGCAAATTTAAAGGCAGTCTGGGCCACACCTCTACATTTACATGCTGAAAAATTTGGCCAAAATTATGTAATGTGAGCAATAATCTCTTCTGCTTAAGACACATTTAAAGCACCTGGCACACAGCCATTCTCAATAAATCTTAGGGAGGTTTCCTTCCTACTTAAAGTAAGTGAATACTTTTAGGAAGGAATTCTAATTCTCATTAATAATTTTTTTACATACTTTTAAGTAGAATCTCATACAACTCATAAGATAATCCAGTGGAATATTTTAAGCAATTTGTGAAATATAAAGCTTGAAAACAGTAATCAAACTTTTTTTTACCTGAAGATTGTTGAAATCTACTTTCATAATTTCAAAGCATTCTGTCAGAGCCAAATACCCTCCAGGAACTCGACTCATCTTTTCAGTTGTATAAGGTTCTACTGCTTCTTCAGTATCTATTGAGTAATAGGTAGGACTCTGAAATTTCACATTTGTTGGTAAATGGATGCCAGCAATGTCCTTACTACCCACTCTGGTGAGAGAGAAAATAAGAGTTTTTTAAGAATCAAGTAACACCATCTAATACTGAGTGCAGAGGAACATAAACGTAAAAATGAAATAAGATGTCATGGACAAATGTTTCTTAAATTAATACACACACATGTACATATATACCAAGAATAAAGGAAAATAAATAAGAGACCTACATTTAAATTAAGAACTGCTCACATAAGGCCACTGTACAAGTAAAAATGCAACTTACTAAAAAAAATACTTGTAACACACATTCACTAAAAAGTTCATATCCAAAATAATTATTTTTTATTTCCTACAAACTTAGAAAAAACAAAAATGAACAAAGACAGACACGTTACAAAATAGCCAATGACCATACAAAAAGTTGCTCGGCTTCAATAATCATCTGGGTAATGATATAAAACTCATAATGCATAACATACAACCTGCAGGAGGGGTAAAATATAACAGTCAACAGTTAGTATCATGCATTGGTGACAACAGCCCAGTAAGAGTCCTTTGGAAGACTGTTTATGATACCTACTCAAGCTGAGCACACCTATTCCAGATTCACTCTACAAACAGAAGTCTCACAGTGTTTGACACATCTGAGAATAGAGCCAGCAGAAATTCATACATATTATCATTAAAAGAATATGCAAGATGTTTGTAGCTATATTGCTTCAAATAGCTAACTGACATAACCTAAATGCCCATCAACCAGATGAATGAATATCCAATGGGATATTAGTCAGCAATGAGAATGAACAAATTACACATAACAAAATATACAGTTGGGCAAAAGTCAAGCATAGGAATACATGCATACTAACATCAAACTACAATTAACTTGCATAAAATTCAAAAGGGACACTAACACACCATATTGGACATCAGAACAGTGGCCAGTCTTGGGGTGTGGGGCACTAGTTACAGAAAGGGGTTTCTATCTAGGGTTATTTTTTTCTACAGCGGTGGTGGTAATATTCTGTTGGGGTTTTTTTTAACCTGATTCCTCCTTATGCAGGTATATCAACTTCATGAAAACTCATTAAACCATTAACTTATTATCTATGCACTTGCTATCAGAATGTCTGCCTCAAAACTTATCATTAAAAAAAAATACTTTATGACCATTTTAGCAACACCATTGTTATGGTTTAGATAAAAACATCCCCCCAAGCCTCACTAGTGGATGCATGCTTTAACAAGCTCAGCAGCTCAGTGTGACTTTAGCAGGTGGTGCCTGGCTGTAGGGGGTCATTGGAGCATGACCTAGAAGGGTATAATTCTTGTCTCTTTTCTTTGTTTTCTGGCCACCATGACATGAGCAGTTTTCCTCCACCAGACACCCCTCCACCTGCTGTCTGTCCTTGGAGCCCACTATGGACTAAAACCTCTGAAACTATGAGCCAAAATAAACTTCTTTTAAGTTGCAGGGGTCAGGTTTTGTTGATTCAGCAAAGAAGGAAGTGACTAGGACAACCACTCTTATAAAGAAAACATTCAACCTAGTCTCATTTCATCTCCGAGGCAATCGGATTCTTACTAGTCAAAATTCATGGGTTCTTATTAAATGGATTTTAATCCTTAAATGTTAGCCCCTTTTTAGCATGGTGCTTAATTTTCCCATGTGCAGAGACACTGCAAGCATACTTGTGTCTTTTAAACATGTCCCACAATATTTTATTTTTAAAGCACTTCCTTATTTTGTGACCAAAGATATTCCAGAATCATTGAATCTCTCCTGTCCAAGTCTTGGAATGAACTACGTCTCTAAGGACCTACAGTTCCACTTGGTAAGAAATGGTACTAGAAAGCAAGATTTGGGAGCTGGGTATACTCACTGCTCTGAGGACTGTGCCTTGCCTTCCTCCCATGAACACTACGTCACTGACTACACATTCACATTAGCTAATTCCTATAGGTGCTTGTACAATACTGCACCGGGTGACATATTTTTAAAAAATATTTTCTTGTTAATAAACATTTAGATAACTTCTCAGTCTTGTTCAACTACAATATCATAGTCAACAACCTTAATTATGTATCATCATACATATGTATGTGTCAGTACAGACCCTCAGATGTGGAGCTGCTATGCTGAGAATGTAATAAACATCTTTATTTTGTTAGAAAATGCTAAAGTCAGCTACTAGAATGTTATACAAGTGTAAAATCCTGCCCAAGTCAATAAGAAAACAGGATATCAATCATTTTTAACGTTTGCTAACATAAGCAACTGAAAAAGGTTATCAGTACATAGATTTTAATTTCAGTTTTTGATCAATATATAATTACACTCATATTTTATTGTAAAAGTTGCAAATTGTTATCTCACTTTTTCCTTGTCTTTTAACTTTGTAATACTGCATCTTTCACCAATCGCCTCCATATTGCTGGAAATTTCTGGAGCTTATGCTATATTTTGCTCTGGAAAGCATTCATCATTTAATGCATTCTTTCACTTATAATTCAATTCATCCAGAATTAAAAGACTCTAAATTTTCTCCCCAAATGATGCATAACATCTCCATATACTAAACAGTTTATCTTCACCCCACTGATCTGAAATATCACACCTATATCATATTACAAAATCCATATAATTTCAAGTTCATTTCTAGATTTTTTTTGAGTGTTACACTGATGTATTTTTCTCTGTATCAGTAGTCTGATTTTATTTCGGTATTTTATATAGTGTTACACTGATGTATTTTTCTCTGTATCAATATAGTCTGATTTTATTTGTGTTTTTATATCTAGTAACTCATTTCACAGTTTTCTTAGTTATTTTTAACTACTTGCTTATTTGAGTGAGCATTAGATTCATTAGGATCCATAGTAATTTTTATAATTTACAAATGTTTCCACCAGGTAAAACAGTATCACTCATATGTATCTTTATAGCACCTTTCTTCACAATCCTCAATCCAAACTACTAAATTTGGGGGGGAGGGGAGTACCCAGAGCCTCACTCAGACCAACTCAATCAAAATGTGCAAAAGTTCCTTTTGGTGCTTCTGTTGTACAGCCAGCCGCACACACACACACACACACACACACAAAAAAAAAAAAAAAGCACCAATGATGAAGTTATCTTTTTTCAAAATGATAGACAACAGCCCCCAGAATTCTGTTTTGCTTATGCAAACAATTATAGGAGTTTTCCTATAAAACATAGGGAGGAACTATCTAAGGCACAATACAGCAAGAAATCTCAAAAAGATACCTCATTTCTGGTGGATAATGCAATGTGTTTAAGTAGCTTAAAAAATATACCACTCTTTAACTCAACAATCTCTTATTAAAGAACTTATCCTAAGAAAATAATAAACACAAAGGTCCACAAAAGACATGGAGTTCAGAGATATGTACCCTGGCTCTTCAAAGCTGCTAAGTGGAAACAACCTAAAATTCTAAACTTACAACATTAGGAGACTGACTTTAAGAAACAAAGAACCAAGTTGGGTGTGGTGGTGCATTCCTGTGATTTCAGCACTCCAGAGGCTGAGGTAGGGATTGCCTTAAGTTCAAGGCCAGCTGCGGCTACACTATTAACTTCAAGAACATCCTGAACTACGTAAGGAGACCCTACCTCAAAAAACCAAAAATACAAACAAACAAACAAAGAAATCATGAACCAAACCTATCTACGCAGGGAGACTTACAAATAAAAGGCAAATATATTTGGCAAATATATTTCCCATATTTTGAAACAAACTGAACTTATACATACGCTTATTTACACAGTTGATATTTAACAAGCACAAAGTCATTTATTCAATTTGCTCTCATCATGTGCTATGCCTACAAACCTAAACATTCCTACAACATGCAATAAAAATATAACTGCTTTTATAATAGTAATGAAGCTATCAAAAAATAATTAAAATGTATTGTCACATTGGAAATTGCTACTCCAACTTCACCTAAAGTCAATCTGAACTTAGTATCTTTCTACATTAACCTATCATAACTAAATGCTGAACTGTATAAAATTCACTTTCCGTAAGAAAGTAGGCTTTAATTATAGAACTTTATTTTAAAACATGCATAAATCTTTTATGACTAAATATCATGAATTTAAAGGTCAGAAAAGTATAAATCTTTAATACAACTATGCACTAAATAATCTTTGAGGTATGTTCGCTTTAAAATTACTGTTTTTTAATATTTATTAGTCACTTACCTATGATGTCTTCTTATCTCTACACACTCTACTGCCATCCCAAATATAACAGCACTTGCTGGTATAACTTTCCCATACTTCTCACAATTACCACTTTCACCTTTAATCTGAAAATATAACAACAAAAATATTACAAGTATGAAAAAAGTGTATATAATGACAAGCTATGTAAATTAGGAAAAAAATTGAAAAGTAGTAAGTAGAGGTAAGTTAAGGATCTTTTTACTTAAAAGGTATGTTCACTACTATGTATATACATATATATTTTCTGCTTTTACAAAGGAGAGAGGGAAACAGCTATAATAGAAGGCCTTTGGATATGACTCTGAGCATGTAAAATCATTACCTACTCAAAAAAATGTTTTTTACAATTTAACTCGTTATTTTAAATTTAAATTGTTTTCTGTAAATAATTTTTATTACATGTTAAAACCCTTTCATTCATAATACATATTATATATTGTATATCTTAAGATTTGTGAGTTACTGTAGAGGATTTCAATGCAAATATCAGGGTTGGTCCTATCCAATCAGACTGGGTTCAGTAAGTCCCTTAAAATTATACCAACTCTATATCACTATATTCCCTTCCAAGTTCCAAGCAATGAGGGCTAAGAAACTGAAATTACCTTCCTTTTAAAACCATTCTCAAATGATTTGGGGATGACAGTGTGCAATGTATGATATACCATTGTTGCCTCCTGACTGATGTGTTTTGAAATTTTATTTTTTTTTCCTTAAAATAAAATGGATTTGGAAAAAAATTACAAAATAAAAAATAAACCATTCTCAAGAATTCTACATCAGTCCTTCCACAAGGTAACCCTAATTCCTATGAATTCCTGTATGAGGATTTTTTTGAGGCAAATCTTGCTATATGGTTTAGAGTGGCCTTGAACTAAGTAGTTCAGGCTGGCCTCAGACTCAGATTCTCCAGCCTCAGCTTTCCAAAATCTAGGATTACAGGCATGCACCACCATGACTACCTTCTTCTCAAGAGTACTTTCCACCTTTATTCTCCTTTGGACACATAATACACTGTATTATGTTGTTATTAAATGTTTTGGGCATTGATTTCTTTCCAACTACAGACTATGTACCTTAACAAGAGAGAAATGTATTTCACACTGCTTTACAGACACTCTAGGAGATTTCAATAAATAGTAGTAAAGTCTTTTTTCTTTTTTAGGGATGAGTAGTAAAGGGGTTGAACCCTGGGCCTTGCACACATCGGGCAAGCAAAGCATTCTACCACTGAGCTACATCCCTAACCCTTTTTGAAATTCTGAGACAGAGGTTTCACTAAATTGCCTAGACTGGCCTCAAACTTGCAGTCCTCTTATTTTCACCTCCCAAGAAAAAATGAATTCTTAATCAAAGTTAAGTGTTTCTGTGCTGCTTACCTTTGGCTGCAAAAGTAAATGCTCCCATGCATGAATCAAACTCTCCACAATTCCTTCTCCAAATAAACCTGCATCGACAGTTTCTGTTACAACTAGGGACACTCTATAGAATGATTTTTTAAAGATATGTGTGAGTAAAATATAATGCTATTTATATAAAGATGTTAAAGCTGAGAGAAGAGATAATTACAGAAACAGTTCACAGGTAAAATTTTCTAATACATTTCACTTTAATATCTCGCCCTGAACCTTAACTCGAATGCTGCTCAGCTCCTCTGTGTTCCTCTGGCCCCATCTCCTTGGTTTGCAGCAGGGCTGACAACACACTCCCCTGGCAATCTGCCTCCTCAGGCTGTTTCACTGCCTAATCAGTTCGTCACCATTATCTTCCCAGGCTCCTTCCTTAAAGCCAAGTAACTGTTCTAACTCTAATATTCCATAAGAATATTCTGTATCACTAATAGCTCTTGGCTTATCAAAATTATCTTTTCCAGTTGCCATTTGCTTTTATTTACAAGTTAAAGCAGGCGAGAGCCCTTCCTCTCAAATATTCAGCTTCTATCTTCTGTGACACTGTATTACTCAAGTTTGCCTCTCATAGTTAACTGAACCTACTTATTATTCCTTCCTTGGATCTTTACAAAAGCTCAGTCCATCCTTCTGCCTATTCTTACTTTCAAAAAAGTTCTACCTAAAAACATACCAAAACAATTTCTCCCTTCTCTGAGTTACTCTAGCTGTTACTGCCATCATTCATTTCTGTAACTTGAAAATAAAGCAAAGTTTCACCACCATTCCTTAACTTCCAGCCAGGCTATCTGCACCTAGAAAAGCAGGAATGACTTTTGTACCTCCACAGTGCCTAAACCCAGTATTGTTTGAATATACAGAATATATTGTATTTACAGTTGTTCATATTTAGAATGTGGAAGGTATCTCAAATATCTAGTCCCACATCCTGAAGTGTAATGATCTGCTAAAGCAGAGTTTGAATTAGAATTCATATCACCTGATTCAAAATCAGGAGATATGTTTACAACTTTATCTGTGAAAAAAACAGGAATTGAACAAAAGTAACTTTCGATTCATAGTATGGACTTAATCTTGTCCCCCCTAAGTCTTGTGTTAAAAACCTTAACTCCTGAAATGACTACATTTAAGGTATTCATGTTAAATGATGCCATCAAAGTGGAGCACTAAGCCAACAGAAAACTAGTGTCCTTCCAAAAGAATGAGACACTGGAGATCACACACTGGAGAGGAAAAGCTACCAGATGAAACCACAAGAGGCCATCTGCAAGGAAGAGACCCCTCGCCGGAGAAGCTAAGTGTTTATTCTTATTTAAGCTACTGAGTCTGTGGTACTTTGTTCGGCAACCTGAAGACTAAGACAATTCAGGATGGTCTGCTTTTGTTTTCTATAAAATGGACATACACCTGCATTAGTAATCTAATATGCGTCTTTCTTGAGACTTAGATATAGAGACCACTTGAAAAGTATAAGTACTATGCAAACAGTATTACATATAGAGAGAGAATGAAACAAAACACAGAGAGAAAATCTCTAAAATGGTAATGCTGAGGCCAGGCATGGTGGCAGACACCTGTAATCCCAGCAGTTGCTAAGGCAGCAGAATCACTGTGAGTTCAAGGTCAGACTCTACTACACAGTGAATTCAAGGTCAACCTGAACTACGTGGCAAGACCCTGTCACCAAAAAAAAAAAATGTTGAGCCAATTTTAGGTTTTCTGTGTGTAGTTGTATGTTTTTGCTGGAGCTTGGGGGAGAGGGTTGTTTTAGCTCTACTGGGTACCGAACACAAGGCCTTCACAATGAGCTACATTCTCAGCCCTTTTCATATTCATTTTGAGATGCGGTCTAAGATACCCAGGCAGGGCTCACATTTTTGATCCTCCTGCCTCGGTTTCCCAGAATCTTGGGATTACAAGAACATGCTTCCACGCCTGGCTTACAGCAGATGATTTTTAAATTTCTTCTAGTTCTAAAATTCCATCACCCTTGTGATATGAAATATAAAAACACACTAAAAAACAAAAACTTAGGAATTACATTCAAAGTATTTGAATTATACAATGTCAAAATACATTGGCAACTGACATTTCCAAAGCTTTCATTGTAAATATGAATATTAACACAAAATGTGATAAGTGCATTGAGTCTGATTCATGTTCAATTTCTAAGAATAATTTTTAAAGTTATTCATCATATATAAAGTTATTCATCATATATAATTATTATCCATCTCTACAAATCAGAACACTGAAATTAACAGAAATAAACTTGCTAAAATCAAGTTGTTTTTTTACTCAATTCCTCTAACATATTTTTCTCAAGATTTTAAATATGTTTCATGGAGCAGATGACATCATGCTGAAAATCTGATTCTTATATCCTATACTTTATAAAAAGGGGTGTTAGAGTTTTTGTTAGGGTAGAAACTAGAAGCATATCCTAATTTTTAAAAACTATAAATTATAAACAATAAAATCATTTTAGAGTAGAATACCTTTCAGGAATGTGTTTTGGGATTTCTATGTCAAGTGACTTCATATGTAGGAGCTGTATCCCCTTTTGCATCTTGTTTGCTGCCACTATATCACAGGCAAGTTCATACATTGTTTTGGATACTTCACAGGCATACACTGATTGAGCTCCAGCTTTCTTAGCAAACATGCTACAAAGGGGGGAAATGTTCTATCAGAAATAGTAATAGTAATCCAAAAACAGTAACTTCAAATTTCAAGGGAATTAGACACTTTAAACATGAAGTTTTCTTTTTATTCTTTAACACTTCTGCATTCAAAATGAACTAAGATTCTTAAAACATTCAATAAGGCACAACAGTCATTCTATTAAGACACTACTGGTATGAAGAATACTAACAGGCTTTTTAGATTTTACAAGAATGTTAATACAAAAAATATTCTTAAAATACATTATTTAAAATTTCAATAATCCCAAACTTCTCTTAGCAGTTTTCACTAGTTCTTAATAAATCAGTGAGAAAATACAGTACCAGATGTATCAATAACAAGATTATAAGAAATGATTACCATGTTAAAACTTCAATGTTCAATTTAGTATATGTGGCAAATCTTTTATATTTTTATATATATATATATATATATATATATATATATATAATTAAAATACAATTATAGCAAACCTCAGAATTCCAGTTCCTGTTCCAATGTCCAAAACCGTTTTGGATCCCAAACACACTGCCTTTTGGATTGCTGCATTATAAATCATATTCCTCTTGCTGTCATTAAGCATGATAAAGTGCCAGCGTTCCACCAACCAGTTTGCAACGCGATAAAAATTCTCCTTTGCATCACTGAAATCAGGGTTTAGCTTCACTGCTTTATGAAAATACCCAGCTGCTTCATCTCTGAAGCCCATTCTAAAGTAGAATAAAACAATGAAAGACAAAGATAAAATATACTCAATATATTAGATGCCATCAATTACAACACCTTTGTTTGTGCCAATCACCTGGCCGGAGAATCGCTTACCAGCACATCGAAGCCCAAAGAAGGTAGAAGGCTACCTCCTTGGAAAAGTTTTCCCCAAAGACTGCAACCCTCATGACTGTTTGCTGAACCCCTCCTACATTTACGCATTCTAATCACTATTTAATATTGAATTATATGAAGTATAATAAAGAAAGCTCTTTGGTCCTCTTCCATTTCGCCAACTTGCCAGAACACCAGTTCTTCCTGGAAGCCTCTCCTTCCATAACATGTATCAACGCCCATGGCAAGTAAGTTCTTTCCAATGTACCTGCATTTCTTTCTCTCCACAGTTGAGAGGAATGGCCTTTGAGAGTCAGTCATATTCGCTGCCAAACCAGTTTGTACCAGATGCATTGGTACTAGAACTCACGTCCTGGTTAATTTTTAAAGGGAGCAAATACACATGACTGTAAAGAGACAACCGTTTAGTCTAAGAACATTAAATGCTTTAGGAAAAAACAAAGGAAGTCACTTCAAAAATTATTACTAAATTAGATGTGAGAATAAAAAAATCATAGGGAGTTGGGGCTGGGGATTTAGCTTAGCGGCATAAGCGCCTGCCTGGCAAGCGTGAGGTCATGAGTTCAATCCCTGGTACCAAAAAAAAAAAAAAAAAAGAAAATCATAGAGAGAAAAACTCATCAAACCATCTAGAATATTGTTTCTCAAACTAGTGAGGAACTCCTTTTCCCTTTTTTAAAATATTAAATTGTTTGTAGACCCATGTAGCTCCTATAACATTTGCTTTCAGCAGAACCCAAGCCAGTTCATTCAGGGTGAGAGCTCCTAACCATCTGCTTAGATTTATGGCAATGTCATAACTGCTGTATATATTTCTAAATATTCAAATTCTGTACGTATCTGAAACTAGTAATTTGAACAAAATTGAGCTAGAATTCTTTTTACTCATACTACTTACCAGCATTCTTTAGGCATTGTCCATTTTAAGGAAATCATACTATTCATTCTTGGTATGGTATAAGCAAAAGACATTCTAGAATTCAAGGGACCACACCTTAATTAAATGTGTCAAATGACTGGCACTCATATTTCAAGTTAAAATTAAAATGTTTAAGGTTAACATAAATTCATTTTATTTTGAAGAGAGAGCTATCTAGATCTTATGGTACAACTACCATTGTATGAAATATACTGTATAAAAATCACAATTCATTGAGACCAACTTACCAATGTATATTAAAATATTTCCAATTATCAATGATCAATCTGTTGAATCAATGCCAAACATACTCCTAATTAATTTCCTCAGTTGGTGTTTCCTTTGGGTTTGATACTTAATACACCATCCATTTTCTTAAATTGTAATGCTAACCTAAAATTATATAATACTCTCAAAATATCTCACATTGAAAGACTCAACACATGTCAATAATATCAATGAACTGCAAGAATGCTTTTTCTCTTTTAACTAGAAAAATCAGCGTCCATTAGCAATTTAAATACATTTTCTTCAATGCCACTAGATTAACAAAAGATTGTTAAGGTGAGACGCTAAACAATTTTATTTCACAAATAAATGTCATGAAAGACAGCTGTCATTTACTTTAGGACTTTTTCTGAGAACAATGTTTATTTTGGTGGGGAATGTGAATGTACTCTTTTTTTAAGAAAAGTAATACAGAATAAAAAACTATTGTCCAAGAAAAATAGGACAAAATGTAACAAAAGCAATCCACTATTCTGAATTATCAACGTCTGAACTAGAAATTTTGCTAGTACATCTCCCAAAGCAAAATAAAACCAGTTATTTTTAACTCAATGATTGGCAAATGTTCAGACAAGTGCTATACAACAGTAAGTCACAAACTTCCTAAAATGAGCAGAGGTATAATTTTCTATTAAATCATTTATCCTGAAACATAGTCTTGCATTATCATGACCACTATTGTGCAAACAACAGAAAATATGACAATATGTTGGTCACCTGCTTTTCTTTCAAAGGCTAGAATTCTGGTATGTGCCAGGCAGGACATGGCTAAGTGGTCAGCCCCTCAGTACTCTAATGAATTTCCCTGGTTGACATTTCAGGATATTGTCATGATTGTTGTGAGAGAAAGGAAACGCATCTTCAGGAGGCTTGAACCTGGTTTCCTTCAGACGTTGCCCCATGCAATTTTTCTCTTTGTTAATTTTGTTTCAGGTTCTCTCACAGTAATAAATCAGAGCCAAGACTATAAATATATGCTGAGTCCTGTGGGCCTCCTAGCAAATCAGCAAATCTGTGAACAGTCTGGGAGATCAAAGGTAGTCAATTATTCACACACTACAAAATTGCTCTTTCCTGTGTGAAAAATTCCTTTTTGCCTGTGAGAAAAATATATCTGGCCCTTTAATGTTTTCCCAATAGCCAGCACAAATTGCTGAGACACAACAGGAGTCATGGTTTTGCTTCTTGTTTCCAGTGCTAAGGGCTTCTTTGGCACTAGGCTCCTGAGGACCATGGCAGTCAGCAGCACCCCTAGGACTCCACTCTGCTGGACGGTTTGCTGATAAGTGCGCCTCTCATTTGACACTTTCCAAATGAGGCTTTTTCTGGGACCTCAGAAGGCAAAAGTCCAGCACATTCCCTGGGAAAGCAACAAGTGACTTCCCTGCCATCTTGTGAACCCCAGCTATGTCTTCTCTAACAAGGACAGGTTCTCAGTCCTTTGGGGGAACTCTTCCTTGGAGACTCAGCTCAGACCAGAAGCGATGATTTTTATGCAGTTTATTATTTAATATTTAATCTGCTATGATATCTGCTATTTCTATATTCTTTTGGGTTCTCTTGTTACTAATACAGCTCTCATTACTCCAATCCTTTTTTATTGTTAATTATTCCCTAAAGTTTCCTTGTTCAAATTACTCCATAGTTTACTCCTGATCCAGGATCCAGAATAATTCTTAACAATTAATATCAAAGCTACTACAAACCTGAAGAGATGCTCCCCCATACTATTGCAAATCACTTCATCATCAGGAAATAGTTCCAAGGCCTGCTCATAGCAACCAAGTAAGTCTTGTATTCGATTGAGGGCATCAAGCTCTTCAGCCCACTGGAAGAGTGTATACTGAAAAGTTTCCTTTACAATTAAGAAATAAAAGTGAATTAGTGAACAACATAAAGAGGAAAGAATATCCAACACCAGCTGAGGTTTCCAAAAAATGAAACTTAACTATTACTGAGTGATCATTTTGAATTGCATTTAATTTTAGTGAGTGATATTTGTTGAATACACACACAAATGAATTAATTTTACTACCTAGCTGGAAATAATGTGTAGAATTAATTTGACTATGGAAATTCCTTCCATTCTTACAGCACTCTCCTCATTCTTTCCTACCTCTTTTTCATATTCCTCTCCCTCTTCCCCAGGGATTTTGTCCTTGGCCCTCTTCTCTACTCTCATCTATCCCCAACACATTATCTATCTATGTGTTAATGGTGCTACATACACATCAAATTATGTCCTTTTCTTCTGATCCTCAAACACACAAATACAACTTCCTATCGGCCATCTCAATCAGGCACTGGGTCCCTGGGCCTTTCATATTTAGCCAAATTCAACTATGTCCTCGACAACTGGTGAACAACAACAAAAAAAAAGGAGCTAGAATTCAGTGATGAATGACATAAATGCTGTTCCTATCCTCATACAGGCACTGTAAAAGGAGATTTACCATAGCATCTAATGATGAGTAAGGTAAAACTATCTCATACCACAAAGTCATCTTCTAATGCTATCCCCTAACTCCATATACAATATTTTTAAATCCAGCCAGTGCTTATTCAGTATCTTTAAATTTTTCCTGCAAGCCCATAATTCTAGGACAGGAAAATTGCAAGTTCAAGCCCAGCTTGTGCAACTTAGTGACTTAGCAAGTCCCTGTATCACTGTATCAAAGCAAAAATTAAGAACTAGATATGTAGCTCAGTGCCAAGGCTCTCGGCTCAATCCCTAGTCTGCGGGTGGAAGGAGCACAATCTTCCCCTCCTCTCTATCCTACTGTTACAATTTAATCTGGCTCTTGCAACCACTTGTGGGACTACAGCAAAATCTGTCACCTGAACTCCAGGTATACCTCCCGCCACTGCAATACTATGTAAGGTGGGCAAGCTCTAAACATCCCAGCTTCCTTATAGCAATATTGTGGAGAATCATGGTTATTTTATCAGTTTCTTCAAAGGTCACACTGCAGCTAAATTTTGAGCCTGAAGTATAACATTAAAATTCTACCTTGCAACACACACACACACACACACACGTATGCATACATTATGCATATATTATTAGAGGCTCTAACTGCTTTTTATGTCTTAACAGTTACCATTTCTTCTCTTTCCCAATGTAATATCAAAAGTTCCTTTTATTCATTCATTTGTATATAATACACATAATATGTGTGTATATGTATTTATTTATTTTACTGATTTCCTTGACCACAAATCTTAGTCTTTACAGATTTGTTAATCAACTGTACCTGGTAGGATTGTTTCTCAAAATAATAAGGGTCAAAAAGGACTCAAGTCTTCATACAACACCTCAGAACTGACATGGACAGAAAATAAAATGAGTATAACCTCATGAAAGCGTTTCTGGTGTGACCTTTCTGAATTCCCTCCTCACATTAAAATCAAATATAAAGGTTCCTACTTTCTCTCTGGCATCACATTCCTTTCTTGGAACTCTGCAGTGTATCAAGAGTTGCTTTCCTGGAACTCTTTAGGGTACTTGCTGGTCTCTTGTGTATCAATAAATTTTTAACTTTTCTATGCTTCCTGACAGCTGGTAAATTAATTTTACCACCTCAAGCCCAGTCTCTCACAGGCTGCATCTCATACAGCAAACACTTTTTAATCATCTTTACTTGCTTTATACAGAAGGGCTGTACTTGAAATTCAGTTCTGAAGGAGTCAGAGACAGGAAAAAGTAACAAAATTCTAGTGTGTGAGGGAAAAACAGAGACTATTTAAAATGAACCAGGGGCCCTAAAGATAATAAGGGGCTTGGTGTGACCCGCCTCTGGTTATAGGGAACAGAGGGAGTAGTGTAACAGGACTTGCGTAAAATACATATACACATAAACTTTGTTCTACAGGAATCAGAATAAGTTACTGAACCTTACATTGAATGTCGAGTACTGCAATGCTTTACACATTTTTTAAATATACACTAAACATCTTTAAGACAGACGTTGGCCCTGTTTATAGAAGAGATAACTATCAAACAGCACCTGCGTTGATCCAGTGCAGCTTACACGGAGGACCAAGCTATCTCAGTAGTCAGTAACCTCCTTTGGTGAACTGTAAAAGTCTACGCTGCTGACATCTAGCTGCTGTACAGAAGAATGTACAGGAGAGCTCCTCAAAAGGAATTATCCCAACCAAAATGCCAACAGTGCTAAGACTAAAAAACAACCTCAGTAGCCTTCAGCTGAAAACTGTATTTGTACTTGCATTGGCAGCATATATACTGAAAACTGTGTATTTAAATCATTTTCAGAAACTTTGATTCTAAAACTACTTGAACAAATGTACAGTATTTCAACATGCAAACTATTGCAAATAATCAATTACTGACCTTTAAAGATGTATCACCAACTAAAGAATACTTTAGGCTAAATACATTTTATTCGACTAGAGGAAACCTAATTTTCCTTCTACACTCAGTAGTTACAGTTGCAAAGGCCTGAAGACAGGCGTGCTTAAGTCAGATACAGGTGGGGCAAAAGCCTAAGGCTTCACTCACAATTCGAGGACCTTTGGAATTTTAAGTTTTAAAACAGAAAAGTCGTAGCTTTGACTTGTTACAAAAAGCTGGCTGGGTTGAGAAAGACTGTAAAACAGAGATCAGCCGGAAACCTACAGCCAACACTTGGCCGAGGACTGAGGCCTGAGCCAGCGTGGTAAAGAAGGTGGTGAAAAGTGGCAAATTCTAGGCATAATTTCAAAAGTAGAGCAAACAGGATTGTCGTGGGTCTGATTAAAATCCAGTCGAGAATAAACAACGAACATCAGTAAACTGCAGCCACAACCCACGGACCTAGGTAGGGCTCCCTCTCCTGCTTTTGGTTTTTTATTTACTTGGTTATTTGCCTTTTTTTTTTTTTTTTAACATCTGCTACCAGGTGAAAGAAGAGACCTCACCTTCACGTCCTCCTTCAGCTCTGGCGCCAGGCTGAGCACAAGGAGGTAATGGGCGTATGCAGTGCCGAAGTCCTGGGTCCCCAGGCAGTGCTCCGCGCTCTGCAAGGACCGCGACACCAGCTCGTCCCGGCCAGCTGTCCCAGAGCCATCTCCCGCGCCCCGGCGGGGCCTTTCGGGCAGCGCCTTCGACATGACCGAGTCACAGCTTGGATGACCACAAGGACTACGGTTTCGTAAAGGGACGAGAAAACAGTCTCGCTGCCACCCCCTCAAGTAACCGATTACAAGTAGGGCAACACAGAACCGTTACTCTTCCGTTACAGCTGCGCGCGCCCACCTCAGCCAGGCGGAAGCCCCGCCCTCTGGTAGGGAGCGAGGCGGCGCACACAACGCAGGCCGCGGCGCACGCGCAGTGCCTGAAGACGCCGGCTGCGGCGCACGCAAAATGGACGTCAGCACGCACGACGTGATGACGTCATCTCCCACCCTGTGGGTACCTCTCCGACTTTCCTCCCCAGAACAAGTCCCTTTTAACATCCCTTTACAGCTAATCCCCAGACTGAGGGCGAATACAGATCTGTATTCTGTACGCTCAGTCATTGCCACGCTGTGCCCGCCACGCTTTTGGGTGACTTTTAAGGCGTTTTGGATTATGGAAGGAACGAAGAAACAATCGCCTGATGTGTGGTAGCGAAAATATTTTCACGCGATTGATTGTAAATCATTCCCACAGAACCTCATGAGGTGGGCCTTAGGGTCATATTCATTTTAGAGGTGCGAAAAGTGACGTCCTGAAAAGTAACTTGTTAAGCTCACGCAAACAGTGGCACTAGTGGCGCGGGTACGAACCGAATACAAATTTGTTAACCACCTGTTATATTAAGAGTGTTCTTCCAAAGTGGCCCCTGAGGTATAGATTCAGAACTTAAAGGAGAGGGTGGGAGTAAGAATTACAGCTAAAGTCATTTTTACCATTTTCAAATGTGTTTGTACGAATACCTTATAAATAAAACATGTTTTGTATCTAACAACCTTTAGGGGTTCCTCCCGTTCTCAAAAATCCCATCTTTTCCATGTTGTTTTGCCTTCTCTTTGATCTGATTATTTGATCCACTCTTTTTTCTGAGCATCTGCCTATGTATATTCTAGTCAGTTCTTCAGGATCCAGTTCAGGGCACTGTGACCTGCCCGTCTAAACAGAAAGTTTCTCAAGGCAGGACCTATTCTTAACCACTTCAGAAACCTTTGAACCTAGCAGATTATGGGACAAAATAAGGACACTGATGTTTTTCATTGTAATAGAAAGTACATCTCACTCACACGTTCTGAAGTAAATTTTCCCAAACACCCATGTCATTATTTCTTGCCCATTCTTAATTAGTGCTTTCTGTAATTTGGGACTTAACCATGTGGCATTTCCCTAAGAAGACTGAAATGCCACCCAGGTATAATGAATGGTCTATGCCTATAATCCCAGTTTTTGAGAGGAAGCAGAAAGATCATGCATTAGCTGCCCAGCCTGAGAAGCTTAGCGATTTAGTGACCCAGTGTCAAGTTGGAGAGCGGGATCTTAATTTTTTATAAAGGCCCAGCGTCCAGTGCATACACACAAACACACACACACCCCAACCTATCGCTGCACTTTAGGAGCTGAGACTGATCAAGATTCAAGCCCAGATGCAGTGAGACTAGCTTTGCTGGGTTCAACCCTCAAGACTGCCAAAAACAATTTTTTTTTTCACAAAAAGGCCTAATAAAGCTCTTT